GATCGCCTAAGCCTTTTCTAAGCCTCCAGTTTCATGTTCATGATCTTATTTGCAGCGGTTGGGAGAAAATTTTCTGATGCCGAATTAAATAACATTAAAACAGAGAAGTGGCTCTCAATAGCCTTATAATCAGTTGTAAAAGAGACTCAATGGTACGCCCACCTGTAGAAGATACACTCTTTCTCTCTCTTAATGATTTGGTATGTAAAAAGTACGTCTGAAAAGATCAGACGAATACCGAAAATATGGAAGGACTTTAAAAAGTGCCTTGACCAAAACCAGACCCATCTTGTAAATGCGGTGATACAAATGGAGAGACAAAACGTCCTCTAAATGTACGACTGTAAAGAACATGTGGAAAGGGAGCCTAACTGAAAGACTTTTCATAGCAAATATTAACAATTAAGCCAAAGAAACATAAAAAAATGCACGCAATCCTAGCGTCCTTAATTGACCTTAATGGGGAACTCAAAATCGCTTATTAGAATCAGGCTAGGAAAAATTAAAACAAATCCAACCTTCAATTTAAATACAAAATAACTACAGTCAATTACTATATACTCTGTGTCACTAATCTGAAAACTGAGGTTCCTGTTATATTAGAAATACAGAACAAACCAATATAATTTGGTATGTACCATCTCATATTGTAGTTAAATTGAACACATAGTATGATAAACAATACTGATGGATGAATTGTTAGCCTTGGGGACTTTTAGACAATAATCTGCCAAAATTCGTCATTAAATTTAGAGATAAGTAGTTTTTTGCTGCAGATGAATGATGCCTGGAATATTAATTCTAATAAATAGTATCGGTACAGAATGTTTTTAAGATTTTAGTTTTATTTTTTTATATATACAGGGTGTTTTGTTCATCTGGTGTATATTGTAGTTTTGGATTCCCCGGAAATTCAAGATATATTTCTTGTACCATGTCATTCATATAAGTCCAAAAATCTTGAATTTTGCTCCAAAAATGACGTTTCCAATACATAAAACAATTTTTTCTACTCCCGTCTGTAAAATACCTAATTACCCAGCGATCTAGCGTGCGGGAAGCGTCACTTTACCACGTCAGTATCCTTTCCCACGAATCCGAGCTACTTCGGACATTTCCGGGATTTTACCGCCCGGATTTGGGAGCAATCGGATGTTTTCGGAGATATTTCCCACGCTTTGAATTTTGACGTTTGTCAATTCTGACGGTCATGTCAGTGAATATATTCGTGTTGTTTTACGAAAATGTACCCAAAAACTAACGGTCGTAGAAAAAGTATAGTATGCAACACTTGCGGTAAACTTTTTAACTCGCTCCGTTCGTGTCAAATAAACTCGTGAGTCAAATACCGTTTACCGCACTTGTTGCATAACATACTATTTCTTGCAAGCAATGCTTAATTATTTAATTCTGATATTAATTAATTAAGATTGTCTATTCCGTAAGTTTGTAGTTAATTGAAAAGGAGTACAATCATGGAGCATAGAAACGCCAATTTGCGAAACACTATCTGTTTACCTGTCAGTTTAATTGATTAATTTTTATTCTGATTTTTTCCATTAAAACCCGAACGTATTCAGAAAACGAAAGATTGGATCTATATACTCGTTATATTAAAAACAACAGAAGTATGGTTTTAACCAGAAGAGAATATCGGAGAAAATATCTACAACGAAGAAGAATTTTGGTGAGCATGGTGTTTCAAAATAAAATAAGACGAATAAAATTTGAAAGATGCTTTGACACAAGCAGAATTATAGATGATTATATAACATGTATAACTACGACATTTACCAAACCAATTTAAAAAAAAAGATAAACAAATTTCAAAACTTAAAATCAGCTTTCTACAAGTTCTACAGATTAGTTCTAATTTTCTAACTGTATTTTCTACAGCATCGTTGGATATGTTTCCATATAGCTATTAAATAATATAGTGACTCTACTACGGTAAAAATAAATGCGCTGCAGACGGCGTAGAGAAGGGAATGATTTTTCTGACACCCTGTACATAAGTACATAATACTTTTTTCCAAAAATCGATATTGTCCCATAATTATTACCAAGTTGATACATTGAAATATTGAAATCAGGATACACTTAATGGTAATATATACATTTCATCTAAGTATGACTTGAATTCAATTTATACTGATAATTATAAATCTTCAGTTAAATCGCTTATGCTATTTTCTCATTGTTCTAAATAAACATTCATGAAATAAAATTCTCAAAGTTTTATTCGAAACCGATTAAATGGAAATATTGAATACTGTTCGACCAACAATTAGCTGAAACCAATGCTAAAATGTGGTTCAGTCAATCTTATATATTTGATTTTTCCCATATTCCTTATAATAATAACTTAAGGTGAGGATAAACAGGTTAAACTAGTAGGTACGCGTAGTACTCTTCAGAATTAGTTTATAGTTTACGGTGGATAACGGACAGACGGATATCCGACACGAAGACGAATGAAGCAAAAATAAAAGCTGTTTTAGTTTCAATTGATTTGGTTTTTCAATTTTTGAAAACTGCTTTTTAGAGTTTTTTATTATTTTGCAAGCTTATGATTACATTTAAATCCTAAAGTTCGAAAGGACCTTGCGGTATACCATAGTTGTTCATAGTTCATAGTTGTTCTAAACAGGTTTCATTAGTCCAAGGACTATAGAAACAGCTACACGTGGCATAAAATCAGTAAATGGTATAATAGCGGCAGTTTGCTGATATCCCACAATTAATCGAACAGGTTCTGGTTCACAAGTTTGTCTAAAACTTTGCGCCTATAAAAGTGTACGTATACACATGCGCCAGCTTTTTCAAAATTAAAGTTATTTGTTTCCTTTACATGAAGTCAAGCAAACAGTAATCGCGCGTAAAATACTTTCTAAACACACAAAACCCACGGATTGTTGTTTTACGCATAAGCTTTAATAAATTGATGCTTTTTTAAAAACAGTAAAATTTTTAAATTCTTAAAGCGAGTGTCTACAGTTCAGAATGTTAAGCAACAAAAGTTAAAATAATAAACGCGCCAAGTGCGTCGTTATAAAAAAATATCTAACTGGTTATATAATAAGGTACCTATAACAGGACCCAAATTAGCAGTAAATATAAGCTTTGAAATATAAATAGTATGCTGCTGAACATTTGTAATAAGTAATGTTTTAAACTGTATTCAATTGAAATACCTTAGTTGCTGAGATATAACTTTAAACGATAGTCGTTTAAATGGTGTTTTAGAAACACTGATTTTTGTAATGCTCAAGTTTGGTAGAACCCAATTTATTCACGACTATAAGCATGAGCGTTTAATAAACGACTGGCCGAAGAAGTTTATTAACTTTTTGTTTTCAAAGAAACACTATGAACCACAGGCCACTGTAATACTATTTACAAATATTCTGGATTCTTTCTGCGACCTTGCTGACGTTTCGCCAATCCTCCTGTTGACTTCTTCAGAGCTTACCTGAACCTGTCATTTTTTCGATAAAAATTATCCGTTCACTCCTAAAAGAGTAACTAAAGTACTGTGTTAAAGTAATTCTTTGCACACAGTTGATGGCTGCATAATTGGGTGTTTTAGAGGTAGAAAAAAGCGTTTCTTTATTTTTACATGTCTACAAATTAAGAGTTTTAGCAATTATTAATCATTTTATATTGTTAAAATCTCGTCCATTAGAATCGACTAAAAGTACACTTATTTAGAGTGCGCATTTCTGTATCACCTGTACATAATATCGGTACACTCCTATATACAAATGTTTCTAAAACCTACCTTATTTTCCTCATCTTTTCGTCATTGATTATTAAAACAGAAACATTAAACTTTATACGCACAAAATTAAACCAACACTTTTCGTTAAAGTTCGGAAGAAAAATCTATCGGCATCGCCCGTAAACTGTTAATGTTTGCGTTGTTTATATATACCTATAAACCAACAAAAATCTTGTTTACCGTATTAACAATGAAAGTAAAGGTGACTATAACTAAATTAGTGCCTTCCCGATGTAGTGGATTATAAAGAATTTTTTCTTCTTTTAGCCATCCTTAATTCGTTCTGTTCAAGCTTGCGCTTTCACGAATACATAAGCTATATAGCTTATGTTATATATATTTTTCTACTCCGTTCTATAAAATATCCAATTATACCTTATTACATTTTTTATACAATTATTGAACTTTTTATTTACGTTACGTTACGTTGTCACACTGTATATAAGCGCGTTAATTTAAAGTTAGGTATCACTATTTTGAAACGGGAGCTCATATAAACTAAATCTCGAGGATTTAGACGTTCATTCTTTCTTAAAATGCTTTAAAGTTTTTAAAGGAGGTCGATATCAACTCTCTCGAACGTCGATTAATGGCGATTTTATTTGAAAACTTCGGTTTCTAAATCTTTTCTTACTCAATATTGTTAGGTGAGTGTAATTGTTTTTACTTTTATTAAACTGCTTACGTCGCTCAAAAAGTTTTAGTTAGAGAACGATAGTAGATACAGGTAGTTTGTTATTAAATACTTTGAGGGAAGAGTTTTCTTTCAAGAGATCAATAAGTTATAAAGATTCGTAAGTTGTTCGTTTTTTATTGCAACCGTTATTCATTTGAGATGATTTCGAGGCTTCATTGCGCATCTATTCAACAACACAGGAAATTTAAAAACATTGGTTAGATACCACAATTTAAAGTTCACAAATTATGCGGAAGATATTTTTCGGCTTCCCGGCGCATCCACCATTCTGATCATTTTGAAAAGATTTAAATTATTATTAAAGCTAATACATAATTATTGATTTACTAACTTCTAATTAGTCCAGTTGGAGTTGTCGAATTTTGTCAAAAGTTTAAAAAAAAAAATTATTGAAGGAAATTATGGGCTGTTAAATATTTGTTTTGAATAATAAATGGCGATTAAAATGTATTGTAGAAGCTATAATCAATTTTTTAAAATTGATTTTTAAAATGAAATTTTCGTGGGCAAATAAAATAAAAATAAATTCAAAAAACTTTATTAATATTTATATACCTTAAAATAAACAGTAAGTATCTAAAGTAAAAAAGTGTGCAATCACTGAACCTAAAGCTTGAAAATTTATCACAAATCAAAGATATTTTATGTTTACTTTAAAATTGTACTTTAAGACAGACCAAACCGACCAAAAAATTGACAAGTCACCTACGATACAATTATTTCACCACCCAAATATATATTAGACATTTGAATTTATTAGTAGTTAATTTCTAAATGGAATATATCCGACTCATCTTTCTTTCCCCCACTTTCTATACCATTATTCAATTTGCTTTCCTCCGTATTAGTATCAACCTCTCTTTTGCTCTCATTATCTGACGTCTCGCTTTCACTATGACGTCTATCGTGAGCTCGCTTCTTGTTTCTAGCTTTCCTTTGGTTTTTCTTTTTCTGGCCAAGAATGCTAGAATTGGACCTAAAAAAGAACCACATTTAGTTGGGCATGTGATATGAAATTTTATTACATGGCAACTTCAAAAAAGAAAAATTAATTTTATTGTCAACTTAAAAAACATGTAGCTTTTTCAATATCAAATTTAAAACTAAACTAAACATAGCTGCATCAAATCTATTTTCTATTAGAGTATTACTCCTTGTTTACCAGACACTGTATTTGAAGGAATTTTCACAAAATATTTTTTGATAGAAATTTATTCACCTGAACAGTTGCCTTGAAACAACATCGTTAAACCTGACTGTTTTCTTCAAACTCGTCGAGAGTTCAACATCTTCAGGAATGACAAATTCAAAGCTACTGGAACCATTCTCTATAGAAGAGCACACAACGTAATCATCCAGGCTCGACTCGGACACGCTTCTGACAAAGCTGCTTCTAGTACAGGAAATGCGTTTTAAAATTCCTTTACTCTTTCTTGGAGAAAAACTGTTGTAACTCAGTTCATCGCCACTGGACTCGTACGACGAAAACGGAATATCAATGGCTTTGCTGGAAAGTTTGGGTACATCAATTTCTACCTGCTTTTCAATATTGCCATTGAAACAATCGTGTGTTGATTTTTCAAGTACTTGGATTTGATTTTCTTGCATGGCCTTTTCGAAATGTTTATTAATTACAAATGGTTCTTCAACAATTTTTTCCTTAAGATCATCTTCACTAGCACCACAAAAATAGGAGGACAATTCCATATCACATGGGATCAAGGGAATTTGAAGAATTACATTATTATCCCAGACTTCTATAGTAATATCTTCTGTTTGGATGTTATGGCTTTCAAATTTGACAAAAAATGAATAATGACTAGAGAAGAAACTTGAGCTAATACTGGTAAACTTGACCTTAACAAGAGATTTATCTTTATCACACTGTTTAACAACTGTACGGTCATCTACATTTTTAACATGAAATGTAAAAGCAACAATGTTATCAAAGACATTACAGGTAAACTCAGGCAAATTATAAAGTTTGTTAATATCGAGAAAACTATCACATTCATCAATTTTAGTCCTGAGCTGCTGTTGCGTTTCCAAACTACTAACACTACCTATTTCACTAACAAGTTTTTTATGAAGGTTGTCTTCCAAATCCAAACCAGCTGGACTTGCAATGTCACTTTCAACTCCGCTGTCATATTTAATATAAATATTTCGGTGCTTGGATTTAACAGGTAATGTAACGGATAACTTTTTCAGATCTTTATCAAATTTTGCAGTCCCATTGGATTCTGTTACCTCATAAGGAAGTGTCAAATTTAATTTGTACTTCACAGGGTTCTCACTAATAAGTTGTACTGTCTTTTCAGTAACATCTAAACTTATATCATTCGAAGATTTCAACAAAGGTAAATTGACCTCAACTATCAGCTCTTTCGGAATAGTGGTGTTCAACTTTGCTTCTTTACTTTCAGTAAACTCCTGAATATCAACATTGGTACGGTGCTTTATGACATACTTGGGGACAGTATAAGCTGAATCATCTTCTATATTATTTTTACGTGTTTTGTTCCTTTGAGGACTACTTTTCACGGCCTGAGAATTTCGTTGTCCATCAATATGAGAATAGAGTCTGTCATAAAACTCTTTGTCTTCACTATTAATGGCTAATGGTTTAGTTTCAGAAGGTTTGCGAACTATACTTGCTTGGGGAAAGCCCTTGTAACTCATTTTAGGAAATTTTAAATTCTTCTTATCCAATTTAACATGAAAATTGGTTTCCACAGCATCTAAAGCAACATTATTCACCAGTGATCTGAATGCTAAGTTCTTGCTAGCTAAATGTATGGTGTCTGGATGGAAAAGTACATCATAAACCTGACATCTTACACCTTTATTATCGGTATCTTCTCTTGGAGGAGACAACGAATGCGGCAGAGACCACTGAAGTCCTTTAACTCCTTCCTTAATACAAGGGTTTGACGTGGGCTGTCCAATGTTTTGATTAGATGATATGTTAATAAATCCCTTTTGGGTACCATCTACACTAGTCTTGATAACATAACCGGGAGATGGATGCAGAAAAGTCACGTCCTGACCCCTTTCTTTCTCTAATTGTTTCACTTCCTTCTCGTATATTTGCCGGTTTTTGGGATCCTGAAGTTCATCGACGTAGTCGGTAAGCAATTTGCGAAATTCATCATTTTTCAACGCTTTTCCAAGGCGATCAACTTCATCGCGGGACAGGTTCAATTCTTTAAGTTTTTCAAACGAACTTTCCATCACAATATTATCCAACTCTGCCAAAAACAACGCAGAACGCAGCAAGCAAAACACGTAATAGCAATAACAGGAGAGGACTAGAATTTTCCACCGCTCACGTGGACAAATCAGCCGGTCCAGTCAAAATCAGCCGGGTAATAACCGCGAAGTTTAAAAAACCCGGATGAAATATTACGCAATACGAAAAATGTCAACAATCAACTTGACACAAAAGAACATTGATATTATTCGAATACCTACTTATTATTTCAAATGCAACTTAACGAGAATTTGTCTCAACGATTCAACAATCAAATATCTCCCTGGAAACAATCCGAAACAAAACAATTTTTAAACAGGAACAGGGTAAAACAAACGAATTGCTAGCTCGATTGTCACAATTACGGACGCATAAAATACAAAAACAATGTGTGATATATTTTTAATTTGTGCGATAAGGCTTGAAGCTCATCCACTGTTTGATAGGCTGCATATCTTTCCCATAATGTAATTGCAACAATTTTTGCGTTGCAAACTGACACCAAACATGGATAATAAAGCTTTACATTTTGTTAGTGAAATTAGGTCGACGGTAATCAATTGATATGATGTACATATCAGTTAATCCCCAATTTTTCCGGTATAAAATATTTAACAAACGAGGCGAATGCGCCGGTTTAATCTAACTAACATAAAATGAAATCCCAACGAATTTATATATTTGATATCTTATCGAAGCCATTGTTATGTATAAAATCGAAGCTTCTTGTTGAAAAGAAAGGGCAGTGTGTTATGTAGAGGTTAAATAAACGCCAACCATTAGGAAGATATCGCTACACATGTGGCGGAAAAAAAAATTAAAAAGGAAAATGGAATAATAAAATAGGCTTATTATATTAACATAAAAACACACTTTATGCACGATTTTTTTTAATGATTGAAAGGGCTTGAATTAGACTATAGTCATCATTCTTCTTAACTACATTTAATTAAAAACTTGTGTAATGACAAAAAAGTATTTTTACATTTTATGCCTAACTTAGAAACTTTAGTCTCCTGCAATTTTTTAATGTTTCTAGATAAAAAAAATAAAATTAAAAGCAATTCACAACGCCATAAAAAAATCTATGGCGTTTCTTATCAGTGCTTTATTTGACATTGCTCAGTTAGTTTAAATACAAAATGCGACTAATTTAATCAAAAATTTGCTATCTAATCAGTTAATTGTTCAATAATAAGTGTTTTGGGCACACCATGCTTTTTTTTATATTTTTTTTATATAGAAGTTTTGTTAGTTAAAATCGCAAAAGATCTAAGAAGCTCGTCTATCAAAATGTATTTTTTTCCTCGTCATTGCATAAGTTTATGTTTTAATTTAATTAAGAAGAATAATTCAATTCTAGCGATTCAATAGATCTGTGTTTAAAAGAAAAAAAGCTCTTTTTTTGATATATTTGAAGAAATATATCAATAATGGTTTGCTTTAGATCCAAAGTTTACATAAAAACTGACCTTTGTTTAAATATTTAGTAACCTCCTTAAGTTTTTCTCATTTGTTTTGAAGCGCCAATACTTAATATATAATATATACAAATAATGAAGCAGGGTGTCTAAATTTATATATAAATTAATTATTTTATTACAAATAGGAAGCCTGCAAATGTAATTTATTAACTAAAACATACCTGCATAAACAAATATGGGGTTGTTAGCAATAATAATTACTAGTATTTATGACACAAGTTCAAGTTAAAAAAGTAGGATAGTGAAAACCAGTGTAGGTAAGGTGTGGGTAACAAGGGCGAAAAGTACCTAATTAAATAAAAAAAAAATCAAGAATAAAAAAAGACAAAGTGAATGTAGATTACTTTTTGGTAGCCTGGTAATTTATTAAAAATGTTTACTTTGTGTTTTTGGAACTCATATGATGAAAACTAGAGGCAAAAATGCATGTAATTTACACACACACGATACATAATTGTTTGTAATCATCAGATCTAGAATAAAATTATAAACAATGGTTCGGAAAAAGCGGGAAAAAAGGAAAGTAAAAAAAAATAAATCATTAATATGAAGGTTCAGATTTTATCCCGTTTTAATCTTAAACTTACAACATAATTCGACAAATGTTTATTTGTAAGCACCCGTCTCGTGGGATGTGTTGTGCACCTTTCACCTTTTGGAAGAGATTTCTTGAACAGTATGCCGCCGACCCACTGACATTATGATCGGGTCTAACAATCGTCTTATTTTTTTCACGATTTTAACGAACGCGCGTTTTAAAAAAATGTAACACAAAATGGTGTGGTGCAGGCGCAAACTCAAAATTCAGTGGCTTCTGACAGTTACCTCGCTCGGAATTTGGGGCTTTTACGTTTACAATGGCGCCAAACACAAAGAGTCTATCGAAATGGACAAAGTTGATCACTTTACCACCGAATCTCACCAGACTAGAAGCCACCGGAAATTGGGAAAATTTGTTACTAAATCGCTGGCCCAGTTGGGAAAAATGGACGAGATCAACAAGCATTTTCTTCTGTTGAATTATATTCCCAGAAGCGGCGCCGAAATTTTGATTTTTATACTGCAGAGAGTACAGGGTATGAATAATTTTCGGCACATCAGGATGAAAGGGCCGATCAAAGGCGAGTTGACGAAATCAGAACAGGTAAGTATAGTTCGAAAAGTAGATTTTCGTGTATAATTTTTTATATTATATTTCCAAATACTTATATTTTAAGCTTAAATTACTGTTCTTATAGGATAATATTTCTGCCTCTGCCGCGGTGATTGCGGTAAAGTGACAGTTGAAATCACGAACGCGGTTTTTGTAGAAAGTTATTCCGTACTTAATTAAACAAGTCTTTAAACTTTTTATTATTATGAAAATAATAATAAATACTGAAAAAAATGCAATTTCGACGTATTCAATTGCGTTTATAATTTATAACATCCATTTCACTACAAATTTAAATTTACATATTTTTGGGATAAATTTGATGTGCTGGGAAATGTGGAAAAGGAGAGTTATTTTCTATGTTTAAAAAAGAGACTCCGTCTGATAAATCCGATTATGAATTAATAAATAAAAACCCGTATTTTTCTTTAAAAATATGTATACGGTATTAGGCATACGTATTAACAATACCTCATACCTCATTTAAAAGCGCCTTATAGCTTCAACGCGTTTTAAACTAGTTTTAATAAATCAACACGTTGGCCCTGAATTGTATCTTAAGATGCGTGCCTCATTGCGTTTTTGTTTTAAATAAATACGTAATCAACGACCATGAACTAATCGAATAAAACAAAAGAGTGAATATGCGTAGGCACACCATCCCGTAACTTGGTTTTATAAAGTCATACAAGTTTTTGGTAATTGATTCTGTTGAAATATTGTTGACAAAAAATGTGTACTTAATAACACTGAAAATTTTACAACAAAGAGGAATTTCTGCAAGTAATCTAACATAAATTAAATAGTAAAATATTTCTTAAAAATGTCTTTTTTGCAATGTTAAATATTAAAAATTAAAAATTTTAGATTTTGGATGAAAAGAGCGATGTGCAACGCTGTCCTGGGAAGTTTGTTAACGAATAGTAATATTGTCAAAGAGATGTACGTCGCCGTATTTTTGTTATTATTTACTTTGAAAAAGCAACTGAAAGTACAACTTTATATCTTGCATTGCTTTCTAGCGCAAAAATAAAAATCATGAAAACTGACAAAACGTATTTCTTTTTTGGACCATTTGATACGCAATAAACCTAGTTCTAACAAATCACACAACAAAAAATAACTGATGAAAATGACCACTATCAGCTTAATTGCATGTTTGCACTATGTTATACAATATTTAACGGCCCCCTATCTAAACGATGACGAATTTCCAGCTATATATTGGATTAATGTATAACTTTGCTCTGAATAATTTGCTCCAAACTTAACAACTGAACTGAAACTGAATATGGCAGTTTCGCAAAATAACGAGAGATAGAATGGACCTCTTACAGAAAAAACTAGGAATCCATATCCAAAACAATGCCTACATATATAGCTTCATTTAACTTGCCAAATGTTGGTTTTTGAAAATCTCCTATTAAAACCAGCAACACATTTTTGTTTGTGAATCGAAAATTTTTGAGCTATAGAGGGAATATATTATCTTATGTTGCACGCTTTGTACTAAATTAATAACACTTTTTCTTTTGTAATACTATTTACAAAACTTCTGCTGAATTCCTCCTGCTAAATTAGTTCGACTCAGGATGAATCCGGAAGTTTAGCAAATATTTAAATAGTACGTTAATAACAATTTTTAAAATGGACATTATAGTGCAATAACAAATTAAATAAAACTTTTAAACATCAATGTAAAAAAAGCAGAAATTTTGCTAATTGTGTGAGTTGAGAATGCAATTTTCATGAGCACTGCAGACAGTAAGGTACAGCTTGCTCACTGTTCTTTATTGGCATTTCTTTGAAATGAAATAATAAAAGCACCTATATATTTTTTTGGCAGAACCTTAATTTTTAATTAAATTTTATTAGAGTTGGTATATGAATATCATCAATACATTGCATTATTTTACCTTTCAAAATTGATTGGGACATCAAAACCGCAGCGTATGTAAATATTGTTTCGAATTTCTGAAATACGATATATCCGCCTTACTTAAAAACTTTGCGGTTATTACTGGGGCCCGATGATATTTAAAAAACAATAATTCTTTGCCCTCCGGATTAATTAAATAAACTACTTGCATTAAATACATAAAATTTATGCGTTTTTTTTTAAGGAAAAGCTGGTTTACGATTTTTACGACATAAGAAAAAGCGCGGCGATTCCTTTAAGCTTCGACAAGAACGTGCACTTCATCAATTTCACCACGTTTGATAGACAGTTGCCGACTTACATCAATCTAATTAGAGATCCAGTTGAGAAAGTTATGACCAGGTATGCGATTTGTTGTATTTGTTCGCCGTTGGCAAGTTAAATAATTTCAATGTTGCGCAACGATCCCCCTGTGCAACTCAATGAAGCGTGGTATTGACGGCGTTCCTGCAGTTTTCGATTTATTATAGAAATGGCAAATTACGGCGTTCGGTTCCTCTGGTATTATATTATTATTATTAAAATCTTATTATTATTATTATTAAAATTATTATTAAAATCTGCATTTAATTACTTGCGTTATTAATGCAAACGAAATTAAAATAAACTTTACACGCAATTAATTAATAATAATCTAAAGAATAATCAAACGGGACAAATCGTACAAAATATTATAAACATATTCTTCATGATGAGTTGGCACTAACATTATACTATTTGCTTCTAAAATAGACTTGATTTGCGCTTAACATCCGAGAATTTTAACAATTCTGTGTTGTTAAAAACTGGCTTGGTATAATTTTTTAGAGGACCGTTTATATGGTCACACAGGGCTCCCTAAGCGCCACAACTGTCTCATATGTGTTGTGGTATTTCAGAGTAAAATAATATTTGCCAAATACCTAACACATTAATCCCACCGACCGAAAAAAGTGCTGGAATTTTTGAATTGAAATAAAAGTGTTTCATTCAATCCATTGTAAACATAATAGAGTGCTTTTTATTTTATCATTTTTCTTTTTTGCACGGCTATGCTTCACATTTCATAAATTAACCAAACCAAACAATCAGTTATAAATTTATGAGTTTTTTCTAAATTTTGTATCAGATAACTGAAATCACAGGGGTTTATACTTTTCAAAAACATCTAGAAAACGGTAATCGAAATGACCAAGAGGCAATTAAAAATTAATTGTGGGCTAAAATAACCACAGTTGTTTTATAACATTTCAGTGTTGTGCGGTACTTCTTTCGACCCAGTGCGTAATTGACATGAAAAAAAAAAAATTAAATGATTCTACTCACTAGCCATAAGTACCGATCAACAGTGAAAGTATTGAGTATTGTCTAAAAATTCAAATATAGCGTTTTTTTTTGGTAGGTGCGGTTAGTATCTTGAGACATTTACATATTTGGTAAATACATATTATTATTATTCAATAGACATAATATAACGGTTTATAACACTAGCCTACGGCTCCTGTTATAAACCTCATCCTTGTTAAAAATTCCATACTTCATGCATGATTATCAAATAATTTTCGTTAAAATTTTCAACCAATGTCATTTACAAACATCTATCTAAACGTCCACTTAAATTTGTCTTATCTAATTATTTATTCGAGCCTCCCATAAATTACATTTCACAAAACCTTGCATCCATGGCAGTTTCCGATTCGAGGCGAAATATATTAGAGACGGAAAAATCTCTACTTTGTAATACAGACAGACGTGGAATAAAAAAGAAAAAAAAAAAGAATGCAATATAATTTTACCTGCAGCGCCTTCAAATTTCACAAAACGAGGAAAATGTCTCCAAACCATAAGAAAATGCGGTCACCTGTCACTAACATTTAAAAACACGCTTCTACGGCCACCCACCCACCCATGATTAGCTTCTTTACCTTTAAGCGTTTAATGATAATATGTGAATGACAGGTGCCTCAATCAGGTCGGATTTTCGTATTACATATGTCTTACTAAGTTGAAACCACATGGGAAACTATTTATTATTATTTTTAGAAGAAAAAAAAAACGATTTTGTTCGAAAAATATGAATTTTACCTTTAAATTTGGTAATATCGATAAATGGTTATAGAAAATGTTGATCCGAACTAAAAACTGCATTCAAATATGCATTCATTACATACTACCAAAATTTATTCATTTTTGAAATGTATTTCTAGGTACAATAACATTCATGGTAATCTAGGATGTGATAAACTAATGAATGTTATTGCATTGAAAAATATTAAACAGTTAAAAGAAAATATAAATCAATATATAAATAAAACACTTTCCCGAATGGTTTCAACTTACTGAGCCATATTGCAAATTGTTTGTTTAGCACAGGACGGCTTCATATGGAAGCATTTGCAATAGTGATTTCTTTTTAAATAAATAGGCATATTGAACTGAGGAGGCTTTTACTTGATGAAAATTCATTTATCAAAATAAATAAGAACTAAAAGTTCAGATTTTCACGAAATTATATATTTTGACATGACAATTGTTTCGACATTTGATAAATACACGGTGTTGACGAAACAATTGTCATGTCAAAATATATAATTTCGGGAAAATCTGAACTTTTCATTCTTTTTTATTAATGTGGTACACCAATCATACAGGTTTTTGGAACTAAATTTTCGATGCTACTTTGTTAATATATTTTTTAACACTTTGGTTAGTCATTTAAAAAAAAGTGACCCGTTGGTGTAGTAAAATTTTCAAAAAAATACCTAATATAGATTTTTGCATTATTTCAGAGTTACTAAGAATCACGTAGAAAATAATATTGCGATACGTTGTTTGCTGAGAGAAGGAAACTATTGCAAAATTAAAATGGAGATGGCTATTCCATATTTTTGCGGATACAGTCCACGATGTATGTGAGTGTCGGGGTGGTGGGATTCATCTTCATTCTTTTAAAATCAGGGTCGATTGATAACATTCTTGTTTATATATTAAAAATAAAATTAGTAAAAGGGTTATTAAATAGATAATTATTTTTCTAGGGAACCGAATAATGCGTGGGCCCTGAAGACAGCCATAGAAAACGTCGAGAAATACTATCCGGTCGTAGGGGTACTAGAAGAGTTAAACGCAACCCTCCACGTGATGGAGAAACAAATTCCTTATTTTTTTAAAGGCGCAAAGGATATATATCAGAGAAAATTATACAGTAAGTCCAGATTTTACAGAATTAACTGTGTGGTGGTGTTTTCAATGATGCTTCCAAGTCTTATTTTAGAAATGCACAGGAAAAGAAAGACAATAGCATTTCCTAAGCAACTGAGAAATAAATTGGAAAGAATGTTGGGAAACGAATGGCTTTTCTACAACTGGGTGAAGGAAAGGTTACTACGGCAAGCAAGAAATACATGACCGTGATGATGTCTACACCATTTTTCATCATTGTCATACCAAAGAACAAGGAATTAGTTAAGCTTCCTTTAGAATGTTTATATCGCATACTAAACGGCTTATGTTCGATATAAAGCCTCGTCAGTATTATTTTGTTTTCTTATTAAACTTAATGAATATTTAAACTCACAATCAACTAAATTTCAGCCAATTGCTGAGCATTTCCATCCCTATATATGAAATGGCAGCCATTTAAAATTTGTTTTTAATACGATTTTTATAAGACCCAAACAGGATAAGAAAAGACTGAATCTTTAGTAAGGATGCCAAATATTTATTTAATATTTAAATGCAAAAGACAAACAATTTTAGGTAAAACCACTTAAGTGAGAATAAATTAACAGTTGACGCTTGCGTAGAAAAAAATCATGTTGACATATAGATAAACCATAACACATATGGTTATTTGTGACAATCATTTTTTCTTCGCTTGTTGCAAGCCGGCCCCAGCGTTGAATTTAAAGAAAATAATGTCACCATCTTCAACAGTGTAATTACGTCCTAAAAACATGAATATTAAATATAATATAACAAGAGCAATGTAAAATTTGGCCTATTGAACGAAACCATTGGAAGAGTAAAATAAATAAGAAAAAAAATACGTCACCTTGCTGTCGGTATTTTCCAGCCGCTTTGCAGGCAGTTTCAGAGCCCTCTTCTTTGAAATCCTGGAACTTCATAACCTCGGCCATGATGAAACCTTTCTCGAAGTCGGTATGAATTCGACCGGCCGCTTGAGGCGCTTTGGTCCCTTTCTAAAAAGTAAAACGTCTTCTGCCAGGGAGATGTCGGTAGCGTCGTCGATTATTTGTTGAAATAAAACGGAGCCTTTTAAGGGCAATATTAATTTTTGTTTACAAAGTTAAAGCCTTGCTTCAATACAAAAAATCGATTTCATTTATAACTATGGCAACCAATGCCATTTAGGAAAATGCAGAAAATAAAACATTAATTTTTAGATTTAACTGTATGGATTAAAGTTACTTTTAAAAATTTTAAACTTAAAAGTATATCTTTGAATTGTTTAGTTTCAAAGCGAATTCCTAAAACATACTTTTTATAGTCTGGTTTATTTTTGCCATTTTTAGTTCTGAAAACAATTTAGCTTTCTTGGGTGAGTCCTATTTTCTCTAGGTACCTTGTACAGAATGTGACATGGAGGGTGGAAAACCAGCTCAAAAATTTAAACAAGGCACATCGTAGTGATATTAATTATTATTAAATCGGAGTTTCTTTGACACACCATACGTTGAAAAGCGATTTTTGGATATTTGTTTATTTTCAAAATGGCCTTGACATTGCTTGTCTGTAATTAGGACTTATTATTAAAGCAACATCATGTATAACCATGACACAAGTACACTGTTATTCAATAAATATTTAATTTCCCTATTTAGTCACTGCTGACTCGATTTGGATATATATTATTTTTAATTATACCTTAGATCTTCAGACATGTCAGACGAATAATTCTGCGAGGTTAAATGTACTGCAAGAATAGTACAAAATTATTTAAATAAGATGAATATTGAAACTTTAGAAGGGCTTCCACGCATTTCAGATCTAAGTCCAACATTAATGCGATCAAATGGTTAAGTACCTTACAGATTACAAGTGTCTTTATTATTCAAAAAGCAAGAAACTTTACAATTTAATCATGACGAATTCAAAAAAATAGGATAATACGCGAAGTGTCACCCAAGGAACACGTTTAAACTGAACCTTTTTTTATAAAAAGAAAACAAAAACAACCACTCATAGGCGTCAATTTAACAATCAAGAAACATTCGCAAACATGCCATATAATTATAATAAAAAAATCGTTCTAAGGAAAAAAAATATTAACCTTTTTTTATAATTAAGTAAGGATAAGTCGTTTAAAACAATTACTGGTAATTTTTTAATCAAATTGGATCCTCTGTATGCTTTATAAACAAATAAGACGGATTTTAAGGTATTGTAGGTTGGATGGAGGGGATGAAGGCATCTCTACTGTCACTATCCATCGCCGTTAAAGCCGCGCTATAAACTGAATCAGTATATGATAATCTGGATATAATTAATGATTCACATAGAGTTTAAGGTTGGAATCCATTATTTCACTATTTGGAAACCGTTTTTCAAGCTATCCCTAGGAATATCGATGGAGCCATGTTTTAAGAATCGTAGGTTAGTATCGATCCATAGCCGGAGATTTTTTTGTTCCACTGACTTATTGGCATTAAGCGTAAAGTTATGAACTAAAGATATATCGAATAGAGGATTTAGTTCTTCGTTAATCTTTGTAGCTGCAAGAAATACTTCATTTGCTTGAAAAGCAGTTGGGAATCGTCAGCGCAATTATTAAGAGAGACGTATTTCTAAACAGAAGGAAAATGAGAGATAAGATCAGAGCAGATCAAGCACAATTTTTTTGAACCAAACAAAAGATGTTTGGCAAAACGGGGACGAATAAAGATAATATTAACAAAAATCGTTTGGTGCCCGCGATTCCTAAGAGCGCAAACACCATTTTCCGTGGAACATTCCCGAAAAGCAAAAAACTTCCCGCGTCTCCCTTATTCGATAAAGCGCACGAAGCGAAGTATTTTCATGCAAATTTTCGGAGACAATTTTAGGGCAGGGATAATTTATTTAGTTCGCGATTCAATGGGCTTTTGGCTCTTTTATTTTCCGGGCGCACATTTGGAATATTAGAATAACTTTTCGAATATGCCAAGTCAGTCGCTTGTTCTGGAAAATTAAGGGGAAATATTTTCTACGAAACTAAGCGTCGTCTTGAATAAGTAAATGTTCCGCGTACACGTTTGGCTAAAATTGGTCATTTAATAGAGAAATCTTAGACATTGAATTCAAATAAATGACAAATATTGAAAATAAATTATTTTAAGATAAGACTGTCTTTATAAAATAACATTAAAAGCTATTGCCCAAAAAATTTTTTTAATATTTATGTACCTCTACATTAATATCGAAAGCAAAACGGAAACAGCAAAAAAATGAATATTATAACATATAGAATTTTCATTAGGAACATCTTGGAAGGTCGAAATTAGAGTATTGTGTTTTCCCTCAATTCCTTGTTCACTTATACTTATCTTGACCAGACTTTATCCTTTATTTTTCGTTTATTTAAAAAGGTTGTTATTATTTTCATAAGTTATTTATGTAAATAAACAATATTATTGTTTAATTACTCATGAAAGGAATCAACTTTCTTAAATCTCATCTTCGAAAATCAAATAAAGTTCAAAAACGTATATATTAGTTTCAAATTAAATATTTATACTTTACTGGCTTGCAAAAAACTTTTTTATAAATGTCCCTTGTCAGTTGAATTACTTCCGCGTATTTATTATTCTTTTCTTTAAATTAATATAATAAAATTGTTCATACCTGAATGGTCCAGGCCTTGACTTCGTCGGGTCCTGCCGTGAAGAAATATTCCAACTGGAGAGATTTGTATCCTTGGACTATGATTTTGTCCAAGGCGCTAAAAGAGAAAAAATAAAGACAATGGTAATTTAGTATACTACGCAACTTTAGATGAAGAACAAGTTATCAACGTATTGAAATAATATACTTTTACTATGATCATTATTTTTGGGTACAATTTTGCAAAACAGTACGGATATATTCACTCACTGAGGTGTGTATTTTTATACTATCTACTCTAAAATACCCAGTTATGCATCGATCGCGAATCACATAAGACATTTCCGTTAATTTAGTCACGCATTTGGGAGTAACCGGATGTTTTCGGTAGGTTTTAGTCACGTATTTTGACGTTTCCCAGTTTTGACGGTCATGTCACACATTAGTATACTGTTTTGCAAAAATGTACCCGAAAACTAATGGTATTAGAAACAGCCTAGCGTGCGATACGTTGATAAACTACTTCAGTCACTCGTTTATTAAGCTCTCGTTCCGTTTGTGCCAAACTCATAACTAAAATCATATTTATCCCAATTGATGCACAATACAATATTATTAACTTTCCTGTTTAATTACTTGAAAAACTTTAAATTTAATTCAAATAAACAAATAAAAATGAAAGCGGAGTTTTTTAACAATTCGACAATCTGTCTTTTTTATACTAAATCGCAAGGTTTTATTTTGGAAGAGCAAATCGTTAACATTTATTATAATTAATTAAAATATTCCATCGGAAGAAAAGTGATGTGAGATGTTAGGGTCGCCAATTTACTGAAACTTTATTTAACGGCTGCTATTATTGAGGTTGGCGGTTTAAAGTTGTTTCTCGATGTGCAATTATGCAACAATTTCCCGAACGGTTGAATCGGCTATGTCAAAAGTTCTTTTTTTGCGTTTATTCTTGCCCGGAAAGTTTTCAAAACTGTAATTTTTGCAGACTTTTTTTTATTTTATCGGAGAACGTTTACCCTTCGGTGTTCGCAAACGAACCTCTATAAAAACGTAAATTCCCCCGTAATCACCAGTTTCTTAATGTTCGAAAGCTTTTAAACATCATCCACGTCGGCAATTTCATGAAACGTCTCATTAGCTTTTATCGCTTTCATTTCGATTTTGCAACTTGTCATTACTATCACGCGATTTGTCATGATCTTTTGATATCACCGTTTTGTTGTCTGGCGAGCAAGAAATAGTTTATTTCCAGAAGGCTGTAAGGGAGGGGGGAGTGGAATTCATTTATTATAGTTCGATACTTACCCAATTTTTGTACACAGCTTTGCAAATAAAAATATATATTGTAGCAGGAACCTTTACTCACAGGTTCGCGTGCCTTTATAAAGTCCAAAGTTTTTTGGCATAATAAAGGATTAACAATAAAATAGAAATCACGTTGTATGATCATATAAGTAGTTATTATCATGATTATTAGAATTGAAGGTATTAAAAGGTGACAAACTTGTGGGGTTACTTTATTGATTCTAGTTTGCGGTTTAATAAACATGTTAATATTATATTGCTAAAATCACGATATAAACTTAAATCACTATATTTGCAAGCTTTGTGAGGCGCTATACTCTGTCAAGTAGCTTGTCGTGGAATAGTTTACTGACCAGACATAATTAATAGCGACAAAGACAGCCTTCAAAGGTTTTTTTTCAATAAAGGTAATATTATATTATTTCGCAATTTCGAATGTATTTCGAACTTATTTTATGAATAATTTCCATGAATATTCTTTATACATTTGATCTAACGATTTAATTTGTTTTCGTTGGTTTTCCCAATGGTTATATTGGAAAGCCTATTGAATGGGTACGTATAGCCTAAATTGCGTTTCAACTATTTTCAATAAATGTTTTATTAACTGATTTATTTACATTTCACGTTTTGATAGAAATAGTTTTGGTTGGTTGGCAATATCAGCAGATAAGGAAGAAATCAATTGGAAAGTCAAAAGCAAAGAAAGCAGGGTCGGAGAATAATAAATAACAAAATATAGCTTAAAAATCTAACGGTGGTCTGAATATCGTGTTGTAATTTTGATATTTTTGTAAAATTTGTATACAGAAATCGGACAAATTATGACGTTTTTACAAGTTGAAGAACGCATATTATAATTTATTATTATTTACTATTTATTTATCATTAACTCAGTTTAATTAAAACATTGCACCGTAGGTTTAAAAACCACTATTTAAACAAACCATAACAAATTCTCCAGAAGAAACCAGTAAATGTAGGAACATTTTTTACATAATTTGAAATATAATGGTTTAATAATGTTAATAATTTGTAATAACTTTAAGCTAATTTATACCAATATATATACAACTAGGTATGGTAGATTACCCGCGACACATATACACAAATAAACACAAATAAAAGGAAATATTTTCTCTTATCTCATTGCTCTTTGAAACGTCTATCGAAACGAAGAGGTAAGGAAGTGATTACAAACGTCAAAATGAATTTTGGCGATTTTGATGTGAAGAACACCTACGGTATTTTGAAATTATGATAGGTCTTTTTGGCCACGTCTTCCAAAAGGAAATGTTTTCTACAGATTCACTTTGCAGAGTAGTTGCTTGGTATTAAAGTAAGTTAAACTCGGTCCAAATTTATATTAACAAAATATATAATCCTTTCAAAACATTATACATACAAAATGAAAATATTTTTAATTTTTCTTAATATCGTAGTTTTTCTGGGGCATGTATACCACCACGTACTGCCAGAATATTCCTCGATTCGTCGCTAATTCCAGACACGTAACACATATAGCCTGGTATCCTTGTCGGTAATGATGGGTTTCGGAGACGGAACAATGAGATTTTGTCTGTTGGCTCGGGTCATTCAGAAACAACCGCATTAAAAATTCGGCAATTATTATCATTAACTTCTTTCTTGTAGCGTTTGCGGTCGCGTTAGTCGTTCGGATGCGCACCCCAGTACCGGACTGTAATTTTGTACCATCGAATTTAGGTCAACTAAATTAAATAGGTTTTGCCCCGCTGGTTATTTTTAACCAGTCAAGTACTTTTTGATAACCAATATTACCGTTGGTTAAGTATTGTACATTTTCGATTGCTTTACCAACTAACCTTTTCTGTTTTATAATAAAAATAAATAAGAACTAAAAGTTCAGATTTTCACGAAATTATATATTATGACATGACAATTGTTTCGACAACACCGTGTCTTTATCAAATGTAATATTTACACACTACCTGCTGCTATATATACCAAAAAATGACAATAAAACCTTAATTAATGTTGTGAGAATTTAAGTTTAATAATTGAGAGAGGTATTTACATTTAATTCATTTTAAAGCAATACATATGATGTCTCATTTTATTAATCTTTTTCTACTTTTTGTGGCTCTAAGTAAAATATCAAAATTGTCATCACAATTTTTAAACGCTCTTTTATGTTCGTGAATGCGTTTCCGCGTTTATCATTTGATAAAGACACAGTGTTGTTGAAACAATTGTCATGTCATAATATATAATTTTGTGAAAATCTGAACTTTTAGTTCTTATTTATTTTGATAAATGGATTTTCATCAAGTAAAAGCCACCTCAGTTCAATTTCTGTTTTATAATAGTAACGGTTAAGTTTTGATTTGCTATTTTTTAAAACATGAAAACCTATCAATTATTAAAAAAGTTTTCTTTACTCTTATCAAACCCGTATAATACCTCTTAAACTTCTTAAGATAAGAGTGACCTTTTCCCCCCATTATTTGTAATTAAGAGGTTGTCCTTACCTTTAAAAACCGTAAATAAGCTTTGTCGACATCAAACAAAAAAAGTTCTCTTTTGGCTTCACCTTTTTCTATATCACCTTTTAACAACATATTTTATTTCGTGTACTTGTCATTGTGTTTTGCTTTTACTGTAAAGTGTTGACAGTATTATGAAAATGTTTTAACATTATAACAACTCAAACACTCCGAAAATTTCCTATGACGACTTAACCTTATTTGGTTCAAAGAATTATTGACTAAACTTATCATACCATAAAATTTCATCTCGAAGCAATAAAACGTAATTATTGTAAAAACCTGAAGTTAAAATAATTTTGTTGCGACTAAAATACAGAACATTTTTTAATCGCATATTTATGAAGAAATAATCTTAAAGTTTCAGGAATATTGCTTAAAATATTTTTTATTTGTTTCGGAATTTATTGAATGTCTACTAACCAACCAACTACCTAAAAACTTTTATACAACTTTATACTTATATACTTTTATACTTATAACTTTTATACACCGAAAAAAGTTAGTTGGAGATGTTAAACTAAGCAAAAAGCTAGCTAAACTAATTAAAAATAAAATTATATTGCCAGTTATTGCCATTAACATAACATTATGACAGATGACATTATTCAATGTGTCGGTCCATGTTAAAACATTTAAAAACAATTGACATCAAACTCGAATAATCAAAAGCAAAAATACAATCATATACGGTGTTAATTATTATGGTCCCAATTTTTTTTTCCAATAAACGTAATACAAAGGTTGTATCGTGCAATTTTACAAAAATGTTATGTAACCGAAACACAGTTTGCGAAAAAATCTCATAGGCAATCCGCCACAGTCCGGTCCATGTGAAACACTAAATTACCATTAAAATGGTCAATTCATAAACCTAGAAACGTATTTTTCGGTCCCATTAAAATGTATTTTTCCATCATTAATAGCAGTTTCGGGGGCAGACTCTAATTAACCCCAGGCGACAGTTAGGGTGTGTTTTCTCTATTGGTTGGAAAATTATGAATGGGAGAAGAGACCGAGCTTGTCTATACCTTTACCTTTTATTACTATGCGGCACGAAAGAGTCAACGAATTTGATGTTTTGCCCTAATCGCTAGTAATTCTAAAACGCCTAGAGTTAACTTTTAAATGTTACCAATATCAATTCAGTTTTATCATGTGCTTTAATTGGTTGTGATATTAAGAGATCCGGAAATTTGACGAAATAATAAGTTTAAAAAATGTTTTGATGTTTGATATTTTGTTTCGGCTGAAGTTTTCTATTTAATTGTTATTACAGAAAATTAGATTATCAAAAAAAAACTTTATAAAAATGTTTACCTTGTTGCGCCAACATCTTCTAAATACTTTTTCCGAAGAATGGGATCTTCATATTCACTCAGCAGTTTGTGTTCGAATGCTCCGGAAAATGGTATTATTAGAGCTCCTGGGTCGTTCTTGTCGACCCATTCCTTAATTTTTATTAACCTAAACAAGAAATGCAATATAAAAAGAAAAGAAAAAGAAAGAAAACAAAGAACGAGAAAAAAATACAAATTTTACGTGTTTCACTCACATAAAGCTTCCGTCTTCGATAATTATTTAAAAGTAACAAGTAAAATTACTGTGAGTACGAGGTGTGTTCAAAGAGTAAGGTGACCTTTGTAATTGAACGGGTAACGTAGATCGATCTTCGATGTTTTTTTTGTTATGTTGGCACACACGTTGAACTTATGTTCACAGTTTCAGCCCGGCGATTTTCTGCTGTCAAAAAAAAAATGGAACAAAAAATTTGCATAAAATTTTGTGTAAAAAACGGAATAGAGTGCTGCAAAACACTTGAAATGTTGACAATGGTATTAGGTGAATCTACTTTGAGCGGGAAATATGTTTATAAATGGTACGAGCTGTTCCAAGATGACCAAGAAGACGTCAACCTGGACGCCACAGTACGTCTATTTTTTCCGAAGTTTTGGACATGAAACGTGTAGCAGCAAAATTTGTTCCGAAACTGCTTAATTTTGAACCGAAGGACCGTCGAAGTAAAATCCTGATGTTATGACGTCGAAACCAAAGCATAGTCGTCTAGGTGGAAGAGCCCAGAATCGCCAAAACCCAAAAAAGCAATTCAAGTTCAATCAAATGTCAATGTTTTGCTTATTGTTTTCTTTGATTATCGTGACGTAGTACATCAAAAGTTCTTAACACAAGGTCGGTAAGGTCAGTAAGGTAAGAGTGTTACCTTGAAGTTATGCGTCGTTTTTGAGAAGCAATACGAGCAAAACTTCCGGAATTGTGGGAACACAATTCATGGATTTTGCATCATGCTAATGCACCTGCTCACTCATCGTTGCTTGTGTCTAACTTTGTGGACAAAAAAAAGCCCCAATTATGGTCAGGCATGATGAGATAAAAAAATCTTACCTTGAAGAGAACAAAGTTAATTTTGACTAATAAATAAATACTTTTTGATAAAACTGAAAAGTCACTTTACTTTTTGAACACAGCTCGTATTCTTTCAAAATAAATTGTTTTCCAAAAGTCATTGGGATTTCCCTAATGTTGCTTTAGATGTTTTATATACACAATGAATACGGCCATTTACTGAATATATGAAAGTGAGGCGGAAAAAAATAATTTGCTTTTTTTCCTTTCATTATTTCATATTTCATTATTATGTAACCGTTTCTCATAAAACAGGTAACTTCTGAAAACAGGTGGAAACACTAAGGTGCGTGAAGAAAGAATTTATTAAGGGAAACATTTTAATGCCGAATCGATATATAAGTAGACAGCTGTCCCAAAGAAATCTTTCCCGCTACACACATGCGATAAGCGGAACAAATTCCTGTCAAAACGAATTTCTTTTTACCTCAAACGCTATTAGAAATCTCCATAGATAGGAGGTAGTATTCTTTATATTAAAAAAAAACGAAACCACTAATTGGGCAATTTTTGGTTTTCCTCATGACAGACTGCTATTAATGTTGTAGAACTCAGTTTTTTGTGTAATATATTACGGCTTTTCTGACAAACGTCTGATAGACATATATTTTGTTCCAGGTAGCTAAGTTCTTCCTTGGGGAACACCAATGCAACCGAAAATATTTACATCTAACCTTATATTTTTAGTTAGCAAAAAAGAAATGGGAATTTAATTCAAAACTGCCTCATTCTAAGAAAGAATAGTTAATAGACACAGGCTTTTCTTTTTATCTTTTTTTTTGCGGTACTTAAATGGATTCAACTAGATGTTTTTAAGTGACTTAAGACGTTCTTCCCCAAGGTCAGTTTTGCAACTGGGTTCCATCTCCAATAGTCTAATAAATACTCACCACTTATTTTTCTTCTTAATGTAGTCCTTTTCAGACAAATTTACTAGGTACATACAAGGCTTCGACGTCAAGAAGAGATACCGGTTCAGCACTTCGATCTGAAAGTTTTAAATCGAACATGACAAGAACATGAACCTCGGGGAGGCCCAAAAATAGAAATAATAAGTGTTCAAACATTTAATTATACCGGAAAAAATACACGCATAAAGGCCTCGATAGCATCGATGCTATCGGGCCAATGAATGATTCCGTTTATACGACGATGACTCGATACAATGCTAATGTGGTATAATAATATCACCACCTGGTGATGCTTATTGTAGCCGCAGACATTGACACTCTCGGCGAGGGTCCCCCAGGCGACCGCGGGGTGTCTCCACGTGATCTAACAGGTCTGCGATGACGCGGCAGATTCTTTGATTCCGATTCATCGCCGGGCCGTATAATTTTTGTCGCATAAATTCGGACGTACAGAACGTATTAAAAAAAAAACAAAAATAAAAGGATACACTTACATCTTTCGCATCCCAGTCGCCGAATCGGATATGCTTCTTCTCGTCGACTAATACGGACTTAATTTTCATCAAAGTATCCTGGAAATGAAATGTCAACTAAATACAATGAAACTATAAGTAAAGTAAAAGTCAATTATATTGTATATCAAGTAACTGCTTCCAGTTTTAGTTGAAACACGCATAAATCATCTGACACATTTTACCACAATTTATTTATTTTAAAGATGCCATAACTTACTGCTCAAGAAGTCATTACACTAGTTTTAAAAAACAATTTTTTTATGAATTAATTTTATTTATTAATTAAATTTTTGCGTCAATTCAGTAATGACAACTGTAGAAATAAATAAAAAAGAAAGTTTCTTTTATTATTATAAACTAATAACAGCCTGCAACAACACAATTTCTTTTCACACTGTGAATTTTGTATGCATATAATGTTGTTTAAGTAAAGTAAAAGTAAATTATATTGTATATCAAGTAACTGCTTCCAGTTTTAGCTGAAACACGCATAAACCATCTGACACATTTTAGCAAAATGTTTTTTTTAAAGGTATCATAAGTTACTGCTCAAGAAGTCATTACACTAGTTTTAAATAACTTTTTTTTATGGATTAATTTTATTTATTACTTAAATTTTTGCGTCAATTCAGTAATGACAACTGTAGAAATAAATAAAAAAGGAAGTTTCTTTTATTATTATAAACTAATAACAGCGTGCACCAACACAATTTCTTTTCACTCTGTGGATTTTGTATGCATATAATGTTGTTTAAGTGTGAAATTAGGCTCATGAAACTATTATAAAATGGACTTTCTCAAAGATAAAGCGAGTGTACTTCACTTATAGGCATCAGGTGTATCGGACTTTATTTAGTAACAACTACTAAGTAACTAGTACAACACTAATAAATAATTAACATTAACAATAAAAAGTTTTACTTTTGACTTTTCATTAATCTCTGACGGGAAATCAAATATGAGCATGTGCGCCGCAAATGTCAGTTTTGTTTCAACTTTTATAATTTATAACCCCAAAATCGATCGAGTGGAACTGAAAAAGAATTCTTGGATTATTAAATATTACTACCATTTACTATAAAGAAAAAAACACGGTAGTTGGGCATGCACCATTAAATTAATTAATAATGAATTAATTAAATGAACCGTTGACTTCTTAACTTTGGCGAGTTTCATTCATCTTGTAGATTAGAATGGAGCTTAAACACTTCAACTAAATAAGGGCTATAATGAATAAACACGGTTCCAAACCAACAAAAACAGTCAATCATAACCTCCAAATATTATGAACTGGAAGCTTCGTTGAGATTTCATGAAGATATTCACCGATTACTTCGTGAATGTATTGTTTACAATATAAACTTGATAGTAATTATAACTGCTTTCCCATAAACAATAATTTTATTACCTCTTTTTAAAATAACTTTATATTTCTTGATTGTGTATAATTGACATTAGACATGCAGTGACCCGCAGCTTAAATGATTCAGTCGCTATAACAAAAACTAACTGGTCTGAATGTCTCTTTATTTATTTGGCAAAAACAACTTATTGAAATTAAGTTAGTAAAGAGTCTCCTAAAAAAGTGTGAGTTACTTTTTGTCAAAAATATTCCTTACTTAGTTAACAATAAAGAATTAATTAACGTCAGGAACGATGGATTCCAAAGAAAAGTTCTCTCAAGATGTGTGTCGAGGTAGACAAGTTTGGAAAAATGTGTAACCCCAATTGAATTACTAAAAAGACATTTAGACCAGTTAGTTTTTGTTATAGCGACTGCATCATTTAAGTTGCGAGTCTCAGTAAAGTCAGCACTACATAAATGACACTTTTTAGATATAATCTCAAACAACGACAGTTGGCAGTGCAATAAATAATATTAAATGTGACTAGTTTTTCATTAATATTTTGTAAACTATTTACTATAGGCCAAGGCATATTTCAATCGATCACACAATGCGCTGGATCTTAATCGATAAGGTGTATTTGTATCTGACCGGATCGCGGCCGCCCCCTCACGCCCCCCTTTCCGCAGAAAAACCAATGTGACAACCGAGACGTGCCACGAACAATCAATCAATATCAATAAATGACAGCGAGCGACGAGATAGGTTCCTCATTGTTATTCTACAACATCGAAAAATGCCCAAACACAATCCTAACACAATTATGACACCGATGACTTGCCGCTTTTCTCGGCAAAATCGAATAATCGAAACATGAAACGGATAAAATCGAAATCGAATACGGATAATATGAATGGCGCATGCGTCGCGTGTGGTCCGTAGATTTCATTACGATTCGCTGCCCGCGTGACGTCCGACGAGCCTTCTTTAAACACCGTGGCGTTTCGAATGTTACTATTATAAGAAGTACGTGCCAAAAACTTATATATAAAGCATATTAAGGAAGTGATATATGCGACAATATCTAAATTATCGGTCTTAACTATTCTGACAAAGAAACGTGCAATAGAATTACGAATTGACAATATGCAGTGATGTTGAGGAAATACGTACAAAATGACACGTTCGGGTAAAACGACATAGTATTTAGAATCGAGCTGCAAATTAGAAAACACCGGTACCTACACTTAAGAGCTGCCGGAACGCATTTTATTGCCAAGTAATGCTGTCAAAACTTTACTTACTTAAAACTTACTAAACTAAAATTATTAAATTAACTTAAATCAAATTTATTCATAGCTAATTTGTCATTTCCAGAATGTCTCTAAACAACCAGGAATCAATAAACTTTTTTGTATATTCGCTATTTTGCAAATACACTAGAAGGGCGTTATATTTTTACCATCGGTACTGGCTGGGCTGATTTGATAAAAATCTGGTTTTTACTGATTGTTTCTTTACGACTTTTGTTAAGACTTAATAGTCTGATGACTGTTTTAATGTAGATTTTGTTGATACTTGGTACTTTCGCTTCAGTAAACAATTCTTTAGAATGTTATAGTTTATTTTTGAATATTATATTCAAAACACGCCTCTGGCTAAGTACTAGCAATTGCAGCACCCCAAACACATATACCATAAGATAAAATTAATTCTACTAAAGATTTATATATCCTAATAAGGGAACTCTTTGACAAACTTTGACGTAATATAAAAAATTTATGCAGTAACTTGCGAATTTTCACAGTGATACAATTGATCAAACTGATCAAAAACTACATCTAAATATTTTACTTTTTTGCTAGAGTTTTTGTAAAGATCGGATTTACAATTCGTGTAATAGCCACAGTCAAAATTTTTTGAATTTTTATTCTTTGCACGTCTGGAGCACCAGCTTCCGTCATGGAATAACTAATGAACTGGGTTTTCTCTAAACGAAGTGACAGCAGGTTATAATCTAGTCATTTTTTTACCAGAATTTTTCAGTCTTTGCGACAGTTTCTTTCCAAGTGTTTTCAACAATAATCAATGCCGCATCATCCGCATAGCCTTATTCTTCGGTAAAATAGAAAATATTCCATTCATATATAATGTAGACAAGATTGGCCTCAGAACCGTGCCCTGCGGCACACCATATCCTACCGGAAGAGAGCAGCTCAGAATGTCACCTAAATCTTTTACACTCTATCTTGTAGGTATGATTAAAAATATGTCCAAAATAAAAAAAAAACTATAAATACTATAAATAATATATTATACCATTTTAGCCATGCATTTCTTCAGCAAGGGGCTGGAAAGATTCAAAGCCACTTTATCTTTAGAAATAGAAAGACAACTTGCAAACTATTTGAAACTAATGGAGACAACATTTTTTGGTTTTACATGTAAATAGGTGCACTACCTAGATTATAAATTAGCAGAAAAAATGGTTTTGAACCCAACTTTCGTAAGGGAAAAAAACAGCTCAAGAGAGATTATCTCGATTTCGACAAGAAATCAGCTTAAGAAAGCCTTTACCAATTTCTGCTGCAAGAGCATCGACCTTTAATAAGCCTCAGGCCCAACGGTTCTTTAAAATGCTATAAGAAGTTACACAGAACAAATAATATTTCCCAGTTTCGTATCTACAATATTGATTAGTCGGGTTTATCTACCGCTCAAAGGCCTCCGAAGATATTTGCAACTATAGGACGTACACAAGTTGGAGTTATCACAAGTGCCGAAAAAGGAACCAACTAAAGTGGTGTTGTATGGGCGCAATAAGAAATATAAAGAATATAAAGAATGAGTTAACTAATGGGCACCAATGCAGCACAAAACTCAGACTGGATGACTACATGTGAAAGCCTCCAAAGACGATGATATGACACAAGGGAATTGACACACAAAATTTTGAAAGCCCATTACACCCACGGAATCCAACCATTGACTATTTCGTTTTTTGGTCCGCTAAAAACATATTTACTCAAGAAATTTCGTTGTGGCTTAAACAGAAGTCAGACAAGGTTGTGGTTTTACGAAGATCGGCATATGGCCGTTAAATTCACATGTTTAGAACCTTCTGGAACCACTAATATTCCTCAAGCTTTCCAAAACGATTCACATCTAGAAGACGAACAAAGTTTTACAATTTCCAGATTAGGTAATATCCAGCATATGTAACTGGACAAGGTAAAAGGCAGAACGCGATAGTATTGAGTTTAACTCTTAACATGGATGAAGTAAAAGCAAGGCAGGCTACAAATTAGTGCAGTTGACACCCTCAAAAAAGAAAAAAGTCGCCAAAATTATAGATCTTTATCCGGATTCACCTGAGCATCTAACAGCGTTAAGCTGAACGTTCATGTCTAAGCAAAGTTTGTCTAGACTAAAACGGAAAATTACAAAGCCGGATTCAGAATTCAAATTTACGAATTCTGAATCCCAAGATCCCCTTGTCAACACTGACGATGATGACTGCCCATGCATTTACTGTAACGATTTGTATTGCAGTTCATGAATTACCGAAAACGGTCGCACCGTTCATGTGTTCAAATATTTAGTTTGTGAATTATGTTCTTAACTACTGTAACAATTTTGAGCCTATGGCATCTGGTACATACCATACGGATAAAATGATTCAACATGTGTTCCTTTAAAAGGTTGTTTTGCTTTTTATTTTGCAATTTTTTATTAATAATATGTTTGTTTTTCCATTTATAACAGACTAGCGGTAATTAATTTGGCAAAATAAATAAGAACTAAAAGTTCAGATTTTCACGAAATTATATATTTTGACATGACAATTGTTTCGACAACACCGTGTCTTTATCAATGACATTAAATATATAATTTCGTGAAAATCTGAATTTTTAGTTCTTATTTATTTTGATAAATGGATTTTCATCAAGTAAAAGCCACCTCAGTTCAATTAACCTGGCGATGTTTTAAAAAAGTTAAACAAAACAGTGGCTCATTTTGTACGTATTTCCCTTGTCTCTCGATGCTAAATTGAATAATATTTAAACAGATTTGTTCAATAATGGTTATACTGAGAAATCTCTTAATAGAAATATTACCAATGGTAAACCAAACTACTCACATTTTACGTACGGAATATAAAGTAATGTTTCAGTTTCCGTTCAGTTTTTAAGTCATGAGCAACTTTAAGGAGTACCCCGACAAAATACGCGGGTGAAACATTGAGATCTTAGATAGCACGTTTCCTCGAAGCTACATAACATAAAATGATCAGATGTATTTTCCACAGCAAACCTGACTGGAAGAAGCGTAAATTTAAGGAAGCCTTCTTCGTAGCAAAATTAACAACAATTTCAGCAACCCAAGCGTGAAAATAAGGAGTATTTTTCAACCACTAAGAAAGCGCACCAGTGCTGGCATCGTTAGTGGATAACTTCGTGTTTGACTGCACTTTTATAGATAAGCTTTTATATAAAATAACATTTAAATTGAATTAAAATGTTGTATTTTTGCTTAAAAGAGTTTCCGGCAACCGACTGTTTACTTACATATTCTGGTTTGCTCTTTTTGTCTCCGCCACGCACCACCGTTCTCTCCAACTTTTCCAAATTTTTGGACAACATGTCCTCGTCCTTCAGACGCAGTTCTTCGGAAATCACGTCCAGATCTCTAACCGGGTTGACCTCGCCGTCGACGTGTGTTACGTCGTCATCCTCGAAGGCTCCTAAGTTTAAAAGTCAAGTACGGTACGAATATTGCAGAATTTGTATTATAAAAATAACTCACGGCATAGATGGAAAATTGCATCGCACGCGCTAATGTGTGACAGAAAAGCATTTCCCAGTCCTTGACCTTCCGATGCGCCCTTCACCAAACCCGCGATGTCTACTACGTTTAGAAATGCAGGTACTTTGCTGAAATTGAAATGCATGAAAATTTTAAATGAACGATGAGGCACTATGGTAGAAAAAAGATTAACACTACTGAGATCTTGGGGCAAGATACCCAATATATCTTAGACAGAACACGAGCCGAAATGAGTCCATCGTCCAAGAGTTCAGTACTTTCCAGAGATTGTCAGTACTGAACTGTATTTTTTTTACCTTGAGACGAAACGATGAAAGGGCACAAGGTTAGAAAGATGTTCTCCCACGAGATGAATGGATCAATGTCAATTAGCCGCAATTCGCACGCTGAGATCTCAGTCGAAAGACTCAACGTATTTTGATTGTCAGAAAGGAATGGTTTTACATTTACTTTTTGTTTGATGTAAACTGAACTGCCACGAGCAGCTAACACAGAAGCGAGGGAACAAATAACCAAACAACAGAAGCATGGAAAACATACTACTTTCCCAATATTGTTTGAATCAAATTTTTACAAATGGTGTAGACCATTAGTCAGCGTCATCCTGCCTAATACTTTAAAACTGCTTAAGTAATGAGAGTATGGGGTGGAAAAGCTCATTCTCTAGATCAGGAAGACGTTCACCCACGAGAGGATGGATCAAATGGCATAGATAACCGAGAGGCTCAAGACAGACAAGCTTGGAATAGAAAAATCAATGACCTCGATGCAAAATTCACCACATTGCAATAAACCTAAAACCTACAACGAAAACACCTCAAACACTTAGCTTAGCTCAAGTACCTCTGAATGGGACTTAAGCAGGATAACTATCTAACTTAATGTTATTGACCCAAATAGTCACGCAAAGAAAAACAACCATAGAGGCAATGGACCGTTTAGTTACACTGGTCTCGCACTGTTATTTTGTCACCCAGTAAGCCCCGGGACGTGCTTCTTTTCTATTATCGCCATCGTAGGTCTATCATTACGCTATTTACGTTGACAAAAGACGTTCTCCGCAGCGAAACCTTCCGTTTTTCGTATAATTGAATACCGACCACTTTGGGACACTTCATAAGTTTCGAAACACTATCATTTTATCACCTACGGACCCGATCCCGTGTCCATCCGAGTGCTTAACAGATTTCGTAGCACGACAAGACAATTTGGTTTAAGCCCGCAATTTATCGAAACTAATTTTGTTGAATGTGACGCGTCCTGATGTTCGTGGGGCCGGAGGGGGACACTCCGGCCATTATTTCGAGCTGAAGCGTTTGTTATCTATTGAACGGGATAATCTATAATGCGTGAGAGCATATATATATGACATTTAACGGGCTTTGGTTATTGCAAATAAATATACATATTAAGTTCTTGCCAAAGTAACTGTGTTTTCAATACGCAAATAAGGGGTGACCGTAAAAAATCGGGTACACTTTAAATTTACTACATACGTACAACATACTGCATAATTCTAGTTTTGAGATAACTGTTTTTATAAAACTAGTATGCGAGTTTAGATTTTTTATTTTTACTTTCTTGGTTAAATTTATTTTCATTCGATTCGATTTGATATGCGCAATTCAATGAAATCTATTGATACAGGTAGTCACTGGAATTTTCCAAAACTAAGCTTATCGTGTCAACTTTCTCGAAAAGCATTGTATGGAAACCATGGTGAATGCATTTATTTATTTATTTATATTTATATATTTAGTGATAATCTGACACAGTCGTTTTGGGATTAGATTATACAAGGTGTTCCTTAATACTGAATGGGAAAATTCTTCAGTTCATTTTAAGTAAAACAAACTTAACATGTCTTAAACGACTTAACTTTTGAGATACAGATTGAAAAAACAATATATTTTTTTATATTATCTAACAAACGATTCTGAGCATCTTTGTGAAGTTCGGTAAATGTATTCTTTGCTTCAAGGAACATTTCTTCAGTGTAGTGCGATATGTATAACATATTTTTGAACAAGAAAATGGTGTCACTGACGTTTTCTCAGGTTAATAATTTCCACTATTGTTTTTCTTGGCAGATATACCATTCTAATTGGTTTATAATAATTGTTTTTTAACTGTTTTGTAACTGTTAAACTGTACTGAATCATTAACCGTATTCATTGTTAATTTAATATCGTTCAAGTGTTCTTTCTAAGTGGTTAGTTTATGTACCCAATTATATTGTTAATTTTATCGTTTTTCCTTATAGTTTCTGTGCTAAATCATTACTAATTAATTGATTATTAATATTATTATTATTATTGTTAATTAAATAAAAAGTGCATTAACATACTTAATAAGGAATGCTTTTGCCACTAATATTAACTAAATGAATACAAAAAATGTTGGAAATGGCCTGCTATTCACATTGAATAGCGCACTCGTTAGAATATTCTAGGCGTATTCGCTACAATTTCAAACTATATGTTTCAAAGTATCAAGCGATACGAGACTTTTAAGGTGACGTAACAATGAACCTAGAAATGAAATGAACAGGAACCCTGTAGTGCATGTACCAGATTTAATCCTTCAATGGCTATTGACACCTGTTCAAGCAATCCAGGTAATTCCCTTTGTAGAAAATGTAAGTAAGAAAATAACAAGGTAAGGTCTATTAATTTTACTAATTCTTGCCATATATGAAGCAAAAATTGTCCCAGAAAATTGGATATGGCATAGCGGGTTTATTTACTGGAAACTAAAACAAAAATGCAAAATAGGATATGCAACAAGGGTGGTAAACGTCATTTGAGTTGCAAATTTCGTTAGTACGAGCGGAACACAGCGGAGCAACTGCTTAATAAGCGAGTGACTTAAAAAGTTTACCAAACGTGTCGCATACTATACTTTTACTAAGACCGATAGTTTTTGGAGAATTGTCAAACGTCAAATTCCGTAAATGTGCGAAGTGGTACAATGACACCTTCCGCATGCTAGATCGGTCGTTGTCACAAACATTTAAAGTAAATATTTAAGTAGAGACGTGTGTAAACAAAGTAACTCAACGAAATTTTCAAAATGGAAATTATACAATTTACCATGCCGATGATGGTGATGGGAAAATTTCAAAAAGAAAGATTTCCTTACTTGTCTCATAGAGCATTTAATGCAAAGAAGTAATGATTTTTTCAGGTAACCTAGTTTTTTCAAACAGCACATTTTTAATTCGACATTTTGAAAATCCGATAAAAAATAAGTTCACAGGAAGGACAAAAGAAGATCAATAAATACATTTTTATAAAAATATTGCAAATCTTAACATTTTTATATGGTTATTGATTGGTTTTGCCCTGTTATTCATTTAGATTAACATCATTATCAATTAGTTTACAAATGGAGTAACAGTTGATATGCTTCTTCTATACGGGGAATGCAGAAAAAGCTCTCGTTACGCTCGTGCCATTTAAAATTCGAATGTTGACTGGACCTTGACTTGATAGTGTCAAAAAATTGCACTATATTAAGCAACCCAAATATCAAATCGCTGGGTCAAACGGTTCAAAAGTTATATAGTGTTCCCACTTTCTTGTGTCACCTGGTATCTGCTTTTTCTAGTGCCTATCCTCTAGAGATGTTGCTAATCATGTTGGTCCATACAATCTTGTTGACACCTACCCTGACCGTCATCATTCCCGTCCACTGTCTGATATTTTTCCTCCACGATGTTCGTCGTCGCCCCTGACCTCTTCGGTCACCTATTTTGCCCTGGAAGATTAGTTGGATAAATTAATATTTCTCATTACGAGTCACATGCCCCAGGTACGTAATTTTCCTCACTTTCACATTATGCATGACTTCGAATTGCTTTTGAATTTGCTGGATCACGGTGTTGTTTGTGACATGGTAGGAGTACGATATCCTGAGCATGCGGCGATAGCACCACATTTCAAACACCTTTAAGCGCATAGATATAGCATCTGTCAAAGTCCAGGCTTCAACTCAACTTCAACTCAATGATTACATTATTGGCCCTAAATTGTATCTCATCGTTTTCATTAACTACAAGAATTTTGGTCTTCTCGCAGTTGAGCCTCATACCATACATATCACATGCCTCCACTACAAGATCTATCAACCTCTGCAATCCCTCAGCAGTATCTGCTATAAGAACTGTAGAACTGTATCGTCCGCATACCTTAATTTATTGATAGTCTCTACATTGATCTTAATGAATTCCTCTGTTTCACTAAGCGCTTGTCTAAACAGTATTTCGAAGTAAGTGTTGAACAGAATTGGTGATAGTATGCATCCCTGACGTTTTCCCCGATTAACTGTAAATTCTTGGGAGGTTTCGTCGTCTATGCGCACAGCCGCTCTCTGGTGCAAATACAGATTAGTTATAACGGACAAGTCTTTGCCATCTATACCAGTATTTATATTAGTATTTGATATAATTTTTGGTGTTACACCTTGTCAAAGGCCTTTCAAAGTCGATAAAACAAGCCTAGATATCGCAGTTTACGTCCCTGGCCCTGTGTATCAGGACTTGAATAGAAAACGCGTTCCCATTCCACTTCTAAATACGAACAGAACCTTGCTCATGTGTTTTTCGAGCTTTCTGTATATACAAGAGTGGATGATGTTAAGTAGGATTTTCGATGACTCATCAGACTTTCGGTATTTCGGTAATAGGAGCGAATAAATGTGGAAACCAGCCAGTCTCTAGGCAATTCTCCCGATTCATATATTTTATTAAATAGTATTGTCAGTAGTTTAATTTGGGAGCCTTCGCCAGGTATACCGTTTCTTAAATAATATAAAAAAAAAGTTTTCTGAAAACGGTATCTCAAATATTAAGATGCCGAATTCAAGAAATATAATGCCACCATTGACATATTAGGAAACACCCTGCATTGTAAAATCTGAAAATTAATAATTTGAACAACGATCACTAATAACGCGAACGAAAAGAATCGGGAAAACACACCGCCATTACGAATTCGAGGTCGTGCGGCTTCTTTCAACGCCACCGCGTTGTTATGATTACAAAGACAGTGTCTATTCGGCCATTGATTAAACGCCGACGAAATCTATTTCATGATGGGTAAATTAGAAATTTTTCGGATGCTTTTAATGCATTCACGTGTCACGGTGCGCCGTTCCCACCGTCCGTCAGGCGCCGACGAAATTGATGGCGCACCCCTCATTTAGAACGATCGCAATTACCATTGGCGCAGCCGACAGAAAAAAAATCGAATAGAAATACATGGATAAACCGTAGCCCGTGTCAATGAATACCTTACAGAAATCTGTATTTAGGTACAAAAAAAGTAATAAACCTAAACGCATTGATTTAAACTGGAATTTTGCAAAAAGACTGTTAGCAATGGTGATCCTTGTTTTTCTCTCTCTTGATTGTTTATATTAATGTTTGATTAAATTATCTACCTATCAATTATTTAGACATTAATATTTGGTCATCAAACAATAATTTCTTTAAATATTTGCAAAAAAATAAAATTTATAATACTCCAACTTCTTTAAAAAAAAAAAACTTCGATAACAGCGCATACAAAATGAAGTACCTGGAAATTCAAAAGATTTGAGTTTTTCAAATGTTTTAAAAAAATTGATTGGCCAGGAATATTATTTCAAAAAGCACTTAAAATACACACGTCTCTAACTAAATATTTACTTTAGACCAGGATTTTTCATATTTCTTGAAAAGTGAAAAGAAAAAATTTAAATTTAAATCTTTTTTGTGACACCAAATCAAACATTATTTTTATTTCTAAATAATATGCACAAATGCGTAATCGTTATTTTGTGTACACAGTCAAGACAATTAGGACAAATTTTCTGATAAATAACTTCACTAGCTGTTATAAAGAAAAAAATATAAAAGAAAACGACAAACAGCAACAATATAACACAAAAAAGCAAAGCAACATAAAAAGAGGAACAAAAACAGTATAATGAATGATCAACAGAGAACAACAATTGCAGAAATGGGAAAAAAAATATAGAAAATCTCTTTACTCTCTTACTCGAGAAGACGGGACGGATATGGAAAAAATGGAGAGATATCAGGACCAGACGAAATTCAGATAGAGGTCTTAAAAACGTTAGATGAAGATAGCGCTTTCACACTTCTGTTAAGTTTTCTAGCCTGCGCCTACAAAACCGGAATAATTCATAAAAAGTGGATCAGGTCTGCTTTCGTTGCTCTGCCAAAGAAAGCTAACTGCACGTATTGCAAAGATTATAAAACGATCAGTTTAATGAGTCATGTTCTTAAAAATCTTGAAAATAAAAACTTAGGTATGTCTCAATTTGGTTTTTAAAGCGGTTTCGGTACCAGAGAGGCGCTGTTTAGCATCCAAGTTCTCATAGAGCGATGTCTGGATATGAACGTCGATGTATATGCCTATACTATAGATATACTGAACAATATAGGCCAGACATCTGAAGAAATTCCTATTAAAACAGGAGTTCGACAAGGATGTGTGCATCCCCCCTTTTGTTTAATTTATATACAGAAAAAATCTTCAGGAAAGCCGTCGAAGAAATAACAGAAGGTGCAATTGCTAATGGAATCCTCATCAACAATGTAAGATACGCTGACGCAACAGCTACTTTTATCAGCGGTAACAGACCAGCAACAGATCAGCAAAAACAAAAACATAACTAATAACTTAACACAGCGCAAATGGAGCAATAGTGGCGAGGGTATAAACGTAGAAGTATTTGGGGTGCCGGGTAAATGAAGCCTGGGACTCAACTCACGAAATCACAAACAGAATAGGGCGAGCAAGAAAATATTTTAAGAGCATGCAAAATATGTTAACCAACAGGGCCTTAAGAATGCGCTTCTTGCGCTATGTCTTTAGCATATTATTCTACGGTATGGAAGCATGCACCCTCACTGAAACGACGTGTAAGAGGATTGGGGAGTGGACAGAGTGACGAATCAAGCGGTTCTGCAACAGAGGTATTCCATTCAAACAAGAAAGCTGGAGTATTTTGGCCATGTAATGAAAAATAAAAAATATGAATTGCTCCAGAGGCAAGGATAAATAAACGGTCCTGGTCGCCGAAGAACATCTTGGCTCAAAAATCTCCATCAGAGGTATGGAGTAAGCTGACCACCACATCAAAATGAAGACCATACGACTGTTCGCCAATGTTCTGGGAAGACACGACACATTAAGAAGAAGAAGAAAAAAAGCAATAGAAATATCGCATTTTTAAGTCAGTGGCATGATATATGATAACCGGCAAAAAAGTGACTAGGGTCTAACGAGTACTTTTTCTAGGCATCTCTTAATTGAACTTATTAAATCAAAACAAAAACTACGAACTTAGAAATGCATTTGTGACTTACTTAAGTAAAAATAAATACACTTCTTTCTATAATTTTAAGTTACATTTTGGCAGATATTTTGGCTATGGAAATAGAATTCTACTTAGTGGCATGCGATAGTCCTATTCTTAGTCCTACTTATATATCTATAAGATTTGTTTGCTTATTTGGATTATATTGTTAAAACTGAAAAGTGATATTAAAATACAATAGTATTGAAAAATATGGGGTTTCAATATCACATTTTAGGATGAGTGGGCTGTTGGACTTAAGATTTGTTTCGATTATTTATTTGTATGTTTTTTCCAGATTAGGTGTTTTATGAAAATATTCGTTTTACCATCTCCTGAATATGTTGCAGAATTTATGTTTAGTTCGTTAGTTAAAAGAAATTATGTGTTTTGTCTCGATGGCATTTTTTTTTGTGTTTGAATTTTAACTGTGAGACAAGAAATAGAATATTTAAAAAAAACTGTTTTACCTAATCATTGTTTATTTAATAGAAGCGAGATTATTGCAATAATAATGACAAATGTAATTAGCGGAAATTGATTGCAATTTAAGTGTGGTAATAATACGCACAATTAATTAATTAACGAGTTATACAAATCATACAATCAAAATAACAATTTTCATTATTACCTAGAATAACTTTATATACTTTTTCACATTTATGTAAGTTATTTATAAAATAACTCAACGAGTTGTTATTTATTTATTTACCACATTACTGTAAGCTTGTGTAACAAAAGAACTTACTATTTCCGCATAAACAAGATTTTACCCTCAAAATAGTCAAAATATATCACAACCACCAAGTTCAAACAAGAATTAAAGATTGAAATGATTCCACAAACTACCCGTTAACAAACTATTTACTCCGAAAAAAACGCAAACTATTCTGGATTAAAAAAAAAATTCAACTGAAGCTACTCAAAACTTACCTTAGAGGTTTGAAATATTCGCAGAGATAATCGAATCTTGCGTCGGGAACGGGTACCCTACTTGCTGGAAAAAAAGCAGAAAATAGAATTTCAAAAATTATCAAATTTTATTTATCTGAAACGTTAAACTAAGCAACGTACGCAAACTAATTCAAACTAATATTACAATTCTAGAGAACAATCGTCCCTCATATAAATGTCCATGTCGTCTACGCATTCGTCCACAATTCTGGAAACCATCGTGGTGACACTTTCCGTTGAATCAGATGGCGGCAGATTAAAATCTGGAAGCGGTTCCTGGTAGAAAACGAACGGGTTCCTATGGTTTTTCACAACATCGACATAATTTAATAGGCATTCCCTTCGCTCGTTATACAACCGAAACGCTTCTAGGCATGCCGACTTGCGATATCCCTTGCACTTTTCATTGTTCGCGTTCATATGCAACCCCAGACCGATCAAAGCGGAAGAACCAATTCCCAAACCGGGTATGATTGGGCGTCTTCTGCAGACAAAACTGATCGCTTGAATCATATAGCTAGCGACATACTGTTCCAGCATTCCAAGGACAGGAAGATCTTTATAGTTGAGATCAGGATACGTTGGCTGTCGGAATTTTATTGAAAAATTGAATTGCTGCGGCTGTTTTAAGAAATTATCTAGACAACACAAAGAGTCAAATAGATAAACATTTTCCTTGTATACGGAAGCGTACGTAATAGATCCTGTAGTTACAAAGCGCTTTGTTTTGTAGCAAACTGCACAAATCCCACTTTCGTATACATTATCTGGGTATTTTGTAAGCTCAATTCTTTTTGGAACGTCGGTGGGTAAAACGTTCTCATTAAATGGAGGCAAGAATTGTACAGGACTCTTCAAAAATATTTCCATATGATCCGGGCAAATCCAGTAGAAATATTGCCGGAACTGTACCAGCCCCGTCCTATTGGGAGGTTCACCTCCGCTGACCAGTACATTTGAAACGTGCAGACAAACGGGACAGAAAGAGTGGAAATCACTTTCACGTTTAGCGAACTCCCACGGAGTTACTGACAACGCAGCCAGTCTCAAAGGTCGGTCGCTCGATGCGCTGATGAGCCTGAAATAGTCCTTAACTTCGCAAATTTTTTTAACTAAGTGGCTAAATACGCGATGCCACGTAGACCAAATAGAAACACCTATGCGGACCATAACCCGGGATTGATACTCTTGATCAAACCATTTTCTAAATTCGTGCGCCGTTGTTTTCCATTCTTCGTACCTGTGTTTTATAAAACGGTGGCTATATTTGAGTCCTACCATCTCGAAATCAGACAAACATTGCAATATTTCAGTTTCCTCGGCTCTTAGGTCAATCACCAAGTTTGGAATAAGATTTAAATTAAACAGGTACTTAACTTCACTCGCGCTGTTGGGAAACCCGTCGAACACAACGCCTTGAGTCACGGCCTGTTCATCAAAACAAGCAGCTTCAACACATTTCATCAGCATCTCATCTAGTGCATTCTTTCCACTTCGTAACAAAGATTCCATATTCATTGCCAATTCAGACTGAGTCAACTCGCTGAGGACGTTTCTCACAGCTTCACCACGACTGATCACTTTGAAACCAAACTCGTCACGTATTCTTTTCGCCAAAACCGTTTTGCCGCATTTGGGAGGGCCGATAACAGCAATTTTGAAAGGGATTAAAGGAAAATTTTCGTCGCCGCTAATGAACTTGAGCGGATCCGCTTTAAAGATGTTTCTTTGTTGTATGCCACATATAAAGTATATGTAACTTCGGTGTATTACAGGATACAGTTCATTCTTTGCTTCACTAACAAGATACATTTGGACTGAAATTTTGTTCTGATAGCACTGCACTGGACACGTCTTTCCGAATTTACTTAAAAAGTAATATCCGCAATCTAAGAGTTCTTCAGCAACTTCGGGTGAAACATCGTAACACCGCTCAAAAAGTGACCTGTTCCGAAATTTCAAAGGATCGAGAAACAAATAGCCCTCCATAATGCTTATCTCAAAGTTTTCCAAATTTACCCCTACGTTTCGAAAAGGAATTAATTCCCGGAGGCAGAGAGTTTCGATTTCGGCAATATTCGTCAAATCATTAGTCACCGTTTCCTCGATTAGCGCTTGAGCAGCAGCTGCAGCTTCTTGACGATTGGCAGCAGGAACCTCGATTAGAATAGGAGGCAGTTCCTCGTCCAACATTTTATTGACTTGATCGATATCCTCCTGGTCTGCCACTGAATCCAAGCTAACTAGGGAAGGGCTTCGATTGCGCTCGATCGTTTTGCTTAAATACCTTTTTTCGCGTTTTTCTTCAATCAATGTATCGAATCGGACTTTTCGCTGTTGTTTCCATGCTTCTAGTTTCCGTTTGTATCGAGATAGAACTTCTTCCCTTTTCTTGTCGACATTTTTTTGCCAATCTTTTAAATGCTTATAAAGAAATTTCGAAATCAAATAGCTCTCGTCAGCGCTGAGGCACAGAATCACATCTGGTATCAATTTACGATCTACCATATATTCCACATCAGCCAATCGCTTCGGAAAGTCGTCGATAACAAAGCCGGTGGACTTAAAAGGTTCCGCGAACCAATATCTGCTTAGTGCCTCGGGCGATTGGTCAGGTCCAGATTCTGTTAGCACTACGTCAGAATTAACATAAAACAAGCCAAAATTTTTCGCCAACGACTTTGACAAACGAGTTTTTCCGCAACCAGAGACGCCAACCACGCAAACTCTAGGCGGAGGAAAACTTTCTACGTATTTCACCGGCAAGTACCGTCTTGGATCTGTTAGAAATTTACTAAAGTCGTCATGCGAGGCCATAAAATACCACTCGTCGGCAAATTTCGCCCCGAATTTTTCTTTTCCTTTCCACAAGACGAAATGCTCGTGAAACGTGACCGGACAAAAGTCGGACGTACTACCGTACCTTCGATGCTCGTCCAACGGGTACCGAGCGACATCCTCAACATCGATTTTGGATCCGACATGAAGTTCAGGAATGAGCGTCAGCTCTTCCGCCAAGTCTTCTTCGTTCAGCGGTCGGGCGGTGATCCTGTACCGATTTTCGATCGCCTTTATAGCTTCTTCGAAAATGTCGGGAAGGCTTTTATCGCTGGCATCTATCACGATGGGTTCTACGCTGTGCGCCTCGTAAAACGCATTTATCTTGTCCCAATTACTTTCAAAGTCAACAAGGTGTTTCTCATATTCCTCGACACGGGGGCTGACGCGATTTTCGTCATCTCGGGTAACGTAGAAACTCTGGTTCTCGAGAATCTCCGAAACTATCCCTTCAGCCATACCACGTCTGTCGGACTGCGTGGAAGTCAACGAAGGACTCCTCCATGCAGCGTCGTGGGCACCGACGGACTCAAAAAACGTCTTAAAATCACTAAAAAATGTACTCTCCTTGCGCTCGTATCGATCGCAAAAATAACTGCCGTTGTCTCGCAACACGATTACCTCATCCCCGATGTAATCGGGGTAAAACTCCTTTATCAGTTCGACGTTGCAGAGCATTCCGTCTACGATCCAACCGCCCCGACCGATACCGACGGAAACGTTCTTCTCTTCGATTTCTTTGAATTTATTCAGGAACATTTCCGTGATACTAGTTCCGGACATCCCCATTTCGTGCAAGCCGGCTCTCGCCAGCGCCTCGTCCACGTACTCCTTCACAAACTCGTCGAAAACCGTGGCGGGTTTGGCCTCAACTTTGCGGCTTAATTGATTAGGAAGATAGGTTAGGAATTTTCTGCGGTCCTCCAGGTAACTCCGCCACGTCGCGATGCCTAACTTGTCCACCGGTAGGTTCAGCGCTCTAAGATCGTCTTTCAATTTCGTAATGGCCAGCGCCGTTTCCGATTCATCCTCGTGTTTCTTGGCCTGCGTCTGCATTTGCATCGGGAACGACGAAATCTCGAATTTTTCCTTCGTCCCTTCTCTCTCCTTCTCTTCGATGGCCCGAATCAACTCTTCGAATAACGCCACCACCGACTTAACCCAATCCTTAATATTCTCCGCCCGCTCCTTCTCTTTCTCTACCGCTTCGTTCTTTCTTATTTCGTTTAGAAGCGTGAGCGCCTCGGCGATAGCCTTCTGCTTCAACTTTTCCAGGTATTCGTCGCTATGTTGTCGCATACACTCCCTTATCAGTCGTGCCGTGCTCAACACGGTGCCGTTAAAAAAATAGGAGAGACACTGGGCGAGGGCGGACTTGCCACTAAGTCTCGGACCGAAGATAAAAATCTTACAACTAGGTCTCGGGTAAGGCGGCAGCAGAAACGGTCTCGGGTTGGAGCAAAACTTCAGATACGCCTCGCGATCACGCAAGAAAAATAATTGGTTCATGAATTGGACGGGGTATTTAACGCTACCATCTGTTAGGGTGCCCTGCGTCATGGATACGGGACATTTGGTACCCCAATCTGATAAAGTCCACATGAAATTTTTGGCAGGGATATGCCGGCGGCGCAGCTCCTTGAACACGCTGATAGGAGATGAGTTTTCCCCCGTTAGCTTCGGGGATGTAGGTGATTCGTAGTCTTCCGCGATCCTTGGGGCACCGTTATCGTCCGATAACTCGTCCTCGATAATTTTTTTCGGAACGAGGACTCTCTGTATGGGCATAGTTTTCAACTTGGTTTTGATGACTGTCAAGATCCGCGAAATGTCTAAACGGCCGTCGACTCTGATGAAGCACTGAGGGTCGTGAGTGATCACTTTGGCTTCGAGAAAGGGCAAAACTGACTGATGGTAAGCGTCCAACTGGGCGCGCACGTTAACCTCGAAGTCCTTCGGCAGCTGTACTAGGTGTTTTAACCTGAACTCTGGATAAGGGTCTTCCAGACATCCGTCCTCGTCGTCGTTATGATCGAAACGATATCTACCACGCTTAAGAACTACGTCGCCGCCACCACATTGCACGTATACAATCAAATAAGGCCCAGTCAGTAAATTGAAAACGAAACTCAGCTGTCTATCGTAACGAGTGCTGAAGTTGGTCTCGATGGTTCTCTCCGTGGGCCACTGGGAATACGAACCAGTAGTTTTAGCATCCTGATTCTCTGACAAAGTCGACCGGTCATCGTCTATATTGATTTTAGACGACGCAGATACTTGAGGTCTGCTTGAAGCCACGCAAGCGTAGTTGAATATTTCGTCGAAAATGTCACGGACGGTGAAAATGGCAGATTCCGAAGAAACCGGATCTTCCTCGTACAAATCGTTTGGAAGCATAGGAAAACCGGAAATGATAACTCCCTTGTGCTTGGCTTCTTCGGAGGACGTTTTCTTCTCTAGCAATTTAAGAATGATGTCGGCGCCGACGGCTCGGCCGCATTTTAAGTTGAATTCGATGCACTGACCGGCTCGGCTTCCGCTATTTATTTCGTCAAAGATTAAGCTTTCGGGTTCTATATGAACGCAATTCCAATAATCTGCCAAGCGTTTTGCTAGCGATGACTGACCGATATCGGGTTTGCCCAGAACTATAAACGAAACGGGTGGAGATTCCAAATAAATTTGCTGTGCGATTTTTTCGGAATAGGCGTCATTTTTGCGAAACACGTGACTATCTTTACCAACGCACTTTTCTGGATGAGTTAACAGAATGTTCACTTTTGCGAGTGGATCTGAGTCTTCGAGGTGGATATAATAAGAGTTGACGCAAGGATACCGCTCATCTTCTTGATGTAAGACATCGCTTTCTTCGTTATATTTGAAAGACCGGGTGTGTCTCAATTGAGATTTCCGTACCAATACCGTTTGATCGATCAAATATTCAAAGGATTCTTGTCTGTCCGCTATGTAGTTGTTATGTATCCCTTTGGATAATTTATTTGTCATGTTGGCGTTATAAAGACTTCCAAGTCAAATGTTCAAATGCAAATGAGGACATAATTATGACGTAATAAACGTAATAATCAACAATAGGGGCGGCTTTTTGCACAATCTGATTTAAAACTTCCGGGCATTTTCAAGTTTTCAATTATAATTACCAATCAATCTTTCTTTTCCGACAACCAATTCTTAGGAGATCATAAATAACGAATACATAGACTTTATAAATTAGATTTAAAAGAAACTTTTTTTTACATTTCATGGAAACAAGTTTCCACGAAATGTTAAACAAATATGTCTAAAATTCTCTGACCTTTCGACGTATTTTGAAGTTGTTATTCTACATTTTTGGACTCTGCTAGTAAATTCTAAATAAATATTTAAAGTTTTATCAGAAAAATGCTCGATTTAGTTCATTTACAGAATATGAATAAATATTAAAACTGAGAACAAAAAACAAAAAAATAAGATTTAATAGAAACTTTTTACATGCTTTTTCAACTTTCCATGAAATATAAAAAAAAAACATGCTTAAAATTCTCTGACCTTTCGACGTATTTTGAAGTTGTTATCTTATATGTTACTACATTTTTGGATTCTGCTAATAAATTCTAAATAAATATTCAACGTTTTATCAGAAAAATGCTAGATTTTGTTCTTTAACAGAATGTGGAAAAAATATTCAAACTGGAAACAAAAAATAACCAAAATTCCAAAATTTAAAGCAGTTTTTGAAACAATCTTATTAGTCGACAAATCTTGACCTAAACAGATAGTTATTAGACACAAATCTCTTGACGTTGACTAAACTAGGTATGCAAAATTCAAAAAAAAAACTAGGCAAAACAGCGCTAAATGCTAGTGACACGTAAGCAATGGACAAATAGCTTAAAAATAAAAAATTAAGTTTGAACTTCAATTTACTTTAAATCAGTGTAATAATCATGGAATTTGTATCCAATACTTGAACTTAACAAGTTTGTTTTTCTTTTACAACCTCAAAGATCAAATAGATATATTTTAAAGAAAAGGAACAAGTGTAAAAATAACAGTGGTTAGAAAATTTTGTATGCAATCATAATCACTTGTCAAGGCGAGATAACGAAAATAAATTGCCGTTCTTCTTGTATCACCAATCACATTTTGTATCACAAAAAATTGTATTACATTTAATGAAACTTTTCGCCTAAAGCAAAACTTTCGAAATTTCTCTGGCAATCGATTTAAAAAATTTAAGAAATGTAAAAGGAACAGGCAAAAAACTGAAAATATTAGTCAAACTGTGTGTGAATGCATACGAAAAATCTCATTTTAAAATTCAGAAACCAGATTGTAGATTTTTTAAGTTCTCATTGTTTAATTCTTGATAATACTAGGCTTTATTTTTTTATTTTAAAACTATAACTGTTATGAAAAATGAAAGGGAGCGAAAAAAATCTGCTTGTGGTCCGTAGTTGTTTAGAAACTTTATATGTAACATTGCAAGATTTATTAAAAAAATGTAATTTTTGCAGTAAATCTTAAAATAAAAAATATCATAATGACGGTCTCCATATTTTCACACAAAGCATGTTGTTAAATAAATAAATCAAAAAATTGAATACTTATTTTCATTGGGATCGATGGTGCAAAACGGAAAATTCTCAGCCGCCGCCGAGCTTTTCGTTAGGACATTGAAAAATGTCGATTTTCCAACATTGGGCACGCCTACGATGCCAACACGAAGATTGGTCCCTACACGACCGATGATCGGCTTTCGCTCTGGTTCGGGAACTTTTTTTGGAGGCATTCTGCAAAAGAAAAAATTATTGCATATAGTGGTTGTCAATTGTGGAGGATTATACGGAAATATTGAAAACCAAGACTAAACAGCGAAGAAATAACGAGAACCGAAATATATATTTTTTGAAAATAACATTACAAAATAGAGCACCCATAGATGAAGACAAATAAAAGGTAAAATATAAAAAATACAAAAGATTACATACATTAGTTGCAGTTGCAGCTTAATCAGTCATTTTCTGCCACATTTTTACTTCGACTACGACTATTTTTGCTTTGCGACAACTATACCTATTATTAATTTAATGCTTGTGCTTTCATATAAACGTAGGTCTGGAAATGCTTAACTTCCAAGATTTTAAAGATATATTCAATACATTTGTTTTAAATCTGCTATTGTAACAGAGTATACCGTATATTGTATTAAAATTTAAAAAAAAATATGATTTTTATTTTTGCACTATAAACACGACAAGATACAAAAACAACATAAGCGTAAAAAAATTGCACTTTTAGCGGCAAATTCGAACTAAATAACAAAAGTTACAAAAAAAATCAGTAGCTTTTTAGTTAAAACAAAAATAGAAGTTTATCATAGTAAATATCATTGATTGATTTAAACAAAATCGAGCAAAAAATATTTAACATATTGTAAAAATTTCGTATATTTAAACACCTCATATACTGCAAACCAAGAATTTTTCAGATGACGGATCTTTAGCCCAACCTTAGCGCAATAATGATGTGTTTTTCCTTAAGGACAATGACAAAAATTTAAAAAAAAATAGATTTTTGGTTGATTTGAGAGAAATTAAGAAACTGACAAAAAAAAACATATACTTTAAAATTCCTAAAAATGTGATTAAAGGTAGCAAAATATATATGCATGGTATATTGTAACTGGGCCGATTACGATATAAAACTTAAAAATCGTGTGAGCTTACACCCACTATTAAAAATAAGTCAATTTAATGTGAATTTTTATTGAAATTTATTCCGGCTGATCTGATAACTCATATTAAAACAGCAATAATATGTACCTACGCATTGATTTAAAATTTTACTATTAGTATTTTTACTGACTTTGATTTTAAATTTATAGTATATGAATAATAATAAACATAATGAATAAATAATAACATTCAAAAATTTTAAAAAACGTTAAAAACCGCGTTTGGATAAAAATATGCAAAAATTCGACTTAAGGGCCTAAGTATACGCCTTTACGTCGGGGCACCAGTTTTGAGAACTTGGAATTTATATTTCGCGATATTCAAATTTCTACCGTATATTCGGATAATAACACACATTATTCGACTGCGACTTAATTTCCACAAAATACCAATTTTCAATCTGATACCGAAATTGTACAGTGCGCCTTTTTACAGGGTCCGGCTGGATAAAAACACTAATAACTAACTCGGAGCGGTACAAAACCTACAATTTCGAATTTACTAGTAATTCTCCCTGACTATATTAATATAATCTTATATACTCCGACCCCCAGGCTGCATATTGCAAACATATATTTTAGATTTTTTGCCGATTTAATCAATAAAATTGTTTGCTGCATTAAAACAAAAGAAAAGCCTGAAAATATATCAGCGTTACTCGAGTTGAATAACAATGCGGGTAGAAGTCTGTACAAACTGATGCTTCCGACTACTAGATGGCTCTGCACGCTTCATTTAAAAAAGAGACCATCCGAAGTTACAAATTATCTCATTTTCCAAACTACAATGATTACTAATGGTGGTGGGTAAATATAATGCTATTGCTGATTTAGACTACAAGCCCAATGCTCCTGAATAATTTAGCAAAAAGCCGGTACGAAACGAAACGTGCTTTTAAGGTTAGAGCACTTCTAAAACGTTCAAATATAGTCCAAGTGCGTACAAACGCTTAGATCTAGGGGCACGCACACTAGCTCAACTATTTTAAAATTTGTCACGTACTCACATTTAGCTAAATTAGTTTAAAAATATGCAGGACCACACTTAGAACTTCAATTAAACTACACAACACAGCTGTTAGGTTAAGTGACAGCCTTGCTAACTTTACCCTACAATCTGTAAACTGAGGTATGACTCTCGGCTAAATCCAGAAGATGTTAGTATACAAGGTACAGTCAAAAAGACAAGAAGATGCCAAGAAAGCTAATGCCTACGGTACTTAGTTTTGAGAGAAAGAATCTGAAAACCAAGTCGTTTTAAATTTTAAATTACAATTTTTAAAATTCGTAATAAGATTTGTTGCTTACGTTGAAAACCAAAACTTATTTAACTTGAACGAAAGGTCTGGCAACGACGTTTAAAAAGTCAAAATGAACCGAATGTTATGTAAAAAAGGCCAACCCCTCACAGCTTTCCTCCGACGACTTTAACAATAAATTCCGAAATTGACGTATGTCATCGAATTTGTTTACGCTGTAGGTGGTCTTGGGCCGGGTTCCGACCCTTGTCTGTTAGTTACACTTTTAAAAAATGATATTCTTCAGGCGCCAACCGCCGACTAAATTGACTGAGAGGAAGCGGGACCCTTTGAACATAATCTAATTTTGTTTAGGCATTTCCTTTATTTCGACTAAACTGGTGGATACTTGTACCGGGTAAGTTCTCAGTGATTATATGCACCATCGTTTATATATTTGTAATTTAAAGTAATTTTTAAAACAAAACTTCGTTACGTTAACGTAAAATAAATGTAAAATTGTTATTGTTTTCATTTGTCACATAGCAAGCAAACTCAATTTTTAATTAATTAATTAATTTAATAAATTAATAATAATAATTAATATTCTAGTTATTAAAAGAAAAAATACCATGTAATATAAAGCAAATTCCTAAAAAAAAATACATCTAGAAAGCTTTAACAGATTTCCAAAATACATTTATTTATTTACTAATTATTTATTTATTTCTACAGAACCTAGGTTTCGGATATTTCTAGTCGCATCAGAATCAAAAGTGTTTTGAACCAATTACCTTAAAAATATCCTTAATTATCCGTAGTCATACCTCATTTCTACTAATTACGACGACTAAATTACCGCAATGAAATTAAACTCAATTTCAGAAATTTTAATAAAACATGGAAAAAAATTTGGCTGGAGGAATATCATACCATACAGTAAGAGGTTTTTTTTTTTTAAATAATCGTAACATGAAAATTGAAGAAAGTAATTATTACTTATATTTAAAAGTAATAGATAAAACCAACTCACTTTACAAATTTTTATGTGAATTATATTCTTGATTTAAATCATATTCCTATTCCTATGTTATTTTTATTCTCTAATTTTTGATTTGCAACGATATTAAGTTTAACTACCGAACCTCTTTATCAATATATCAACAGGTAAAACCGGAACCAGCTTATTATACCCAAAATATCTTGCGTTTCCTTTAGGCGCAGATTGTTTTTTATGCAAATTGAAGCAGCGGATTCGTACATACCTCGATGAAAGTATATATATATAATTTTCGGTAGCCACGAACGCGTTTGTAATTTTATATTATTTAATATTAAATGGCGGACTGAATGTTGTAGACGTTGTATAAATTACTAACCATATGGTTGCCGAATTTCGACGAATAAACTAAAAATGTAAATTTTGAAGATTCCAACGAGGTTATTATGACTCATTATTTCAAAAAATTGGCAGTTGCTATAAAATTCTATACTTTAGAATTATGCTTGGGCTGCGCAAAGTGTCACTTCATTGGACACTGTCTCGAACCATTCGAGCCTTTAGTTATTGGTTGGAAGAGACCGAATTTTTCCGGTGAATGTAAAACACTGTATTTTGTTTGTGAATGTTGATGGTAAAAAACTAATTGTCATTGAAAAAGTATAGTATGCTGCAACACAAGTCACTAAAGTGTTGTTTATCAAATTTGTTGCATAATATACTATTAATATGTCACTGTTTAAGAGTTGCAGAGTTTTACACAGGTAGTTCTTGGAATATCCGGGGTAACAAAATAGGTACAGTCCTCCTATAATTTAGGACATATACATTTGTGTTTCAGTGCTAACATATGAACATGTATGCTTTACTGCCACAGTACGATTCAAATGAAAGTAGGGTTAGAGATTCGAAGCTACTGCCTTCCCAGCAGCTAATGACTTCTCCTTTTTTTTACTTAAATATCCAGTTTGACTCCTAATAAAATATATAATATGGTATTGAAAAAATTTGTTCTCCGGATTTCTGTGGTAACTAAAGATTTAAAATATAATTTGCCAAAATAAATGACAACGCTTGATCTGACATGACATTACAAATATTTTAATTGTAGCCTTAGTTTTCCAAACATGTAGACACAACAGTCAAAACAATTATATAAGGAGCAGTTTTCTACTGAGAAACGAGGGGGTCTCAAAATGTATAATTTTCATTTTAGCCATGTATTTCAAAATGAAACGAATTTGAAAAATTTGGTTATTGCGAAAACCCAATCGCGTTATCCTTGCTGAAGACGGTGCTCTACAACCACATTTCTGTGTGCACACCCAAAATAACAAGGTTGTTATAGAAAAGCAGAAAAGAAGAGCATTAAAAAGTGTATCCGTATTGGTTCTCTTCCAATGACTATAACTAATGAGAATTTTTTAATTTGAAAGAACTTTTACACCAATTTAAATAAAAATTTACGAAGAATTTTAAAAACGAAACTGTAATATGGAATAAAAACCAGGTATACCGAAAAATGAGAAGGAAAGTCCAGACAAAATATTTTAGAAAGTAAACTTTGAGGACAAATATAAAGAAATTGATTTATATTTACGGCATACTCAGCGTTTTCATAACAATATAACAATAATTGCATCAGGACTTCTAGATCAGCAAGATTTGTTTTGTAACTTGAATGTTTGGTTAAACAAACAGCCAAGCTGCCTTTATGGTATAATCATTTTCTAGAAAATATCCGATATTATGTATAATTTTTTACATACTGTTTTGTATTGCAACATATATGTATATTCTATCAAATTTCCAACATGTTAGAATAGTATAGAATAGATAGATAGATGGATAGAATAGAATAGGATAGAATAGAATATCCAACTTAAATGTAATGAAATCATAAATTTTGGGGGTAGAATTTAAGAAGTCTGGTGGTTTGCTTTGACTATTACATGTGACGTGACGGTTCCATTAATACAATCGCCTTTGCAAGACGGTTCGGAAAATAATGACATCAAGCCGGTATCCGTTCCGCGTCTTCTCTGTGCGCAAAAACCGCAATTGTGGGCGAAACACAAAAGGTGTCCGCCACAATAGTTGCCGCTTCCGGGAGCCCACACTTTGTCGGAACAACGCAAAATCGTTGCTATGTATCCGTATTGCGTTACTATTTCACAAAAGATTAGAGGTTTTTTTTGTACCAAGACGATGAAGAAGTAAGATAGATCGACCAACAGGAAACGCAAAGATGTCTCTCTATATGAACCGTTCATTGGTATTTGGTTGCAATTGTCGGCATTTGCCTAAATGTTCTTTCACAATTTCCAGAAAGATTTATTTTATTGAAACATGCTGGTGAAACATTCTTATATGCAAGGTGTGATTTAGCAAAACGGAACTTGCTTATTGAAAATTCCATCAGATACTGCAAAATATTTTTGGTGCCGATTGTTTAAGTGATACAACCTGAAATTTTTCCATTTTCCTTTTCAGTACCTCTTTCTGAGCATTTTTGTAAAATTTGTTACCAATTCAAATGGAGAAAATTTAAAAAACCAAAATTTTTACTACAATTTACCACTATTCTGTAGATTAATAACTTCTGCGATGTACACGAGGATGTTGAAATTATTTTACATGACATGCAACGATGCACCCGCCAAAACTTGGTTTATATAGAAAGATATTTCCATTTTTTCATGCAACGTAAAATTTACTTTACGTCAAGATAGTTGAAGTTATTGTTTACGTGCAAAACTTTGCAACAAATATCTATCTTGATATGACGTAGATTAATGAAGGTTATGTGACAGATAAAAATATAACCAATGCTCGCCAAGCTTTTGTGGAGGACCGGCCAACGAGTTCCTTCAGGGGAAAAACTAATAATCGTCCATATTGAAAGGGGAGAAAATGTGAGATATTGAATAATTGATCAATCGGATCCGTTAAATATTATAATATGTTATAATTCAATTTTTGTATAATCAATTTTTTGTATAATGTTTAATAAAAATTGCAACTCAATAAAGTGTACGTAATGAATAACTAAAATTATTTCGTTATACGTATATCCCACCGGCACGCTTATGGCATACTATTTGGTGTTGGTGAAGTCATTGCCATACAATGAAAGAAATTTGCGACCAAGGCCAACCAACTCAGCAAAATTCGGTGATGTGTTTAAAATTTCACTTTGTTAGATTGTCAACACTGCCAATATAGAAAGATATTTTCATTTTTTCATACAACGTAAAATTTACTTTACTTAAACATAGTTGACGTTGTAGTTTACGTGCAAAACTTTGTAAAAAAATCATTTTTGACCTTTATTGCAAATTCGATACTAATAAATATCTCTCTTGATATGACGTAGATTAATGAACGTTATGTGACAAACAAAAAAGCTTTTATGGAAGAACTGTCAACGAGTGCATTCAGGGAAGACAGGGAATCGTCCATATTGGAAGAAGAGAAAATATGGAATATCGAATGCTTGATAAATCGTATCCGTTAAATATATCGTCAAAAGGATATGACAGTTCCTTAGATAACGAAGAATAATGTGATATTTTATAATTTAATTTTTGGAAAATAAATTTTTTGTATAATGCTTAATAAAAATCAATACTCAATAAAATGTATGTAATGCATAATTAAAAAAATGTTTTCTTATACGTGTATCACACCGAGACGCCTATGGCAGACTATTTGGTGTTGGTCAACCAACCCAGCAAAATTTGGTGATGTTTTGAAAATTTCAGTTTGTTAAGTATATGTGCCAACACTGCGACAGAAGTTTTTACTCTTTAATAAGAAGTTTTGTTCCATTCCTTCTTCCTTCCTTCCTTCCTTCTTTTTTTTTAACACAA